GTTGTCGGTCGCCGGCCCCCGGCTGCCGGCTGCGGGGTTAGCCCGATGTCGCTTGACACACCGAGATCCCATGCTCCAGTTCTTTTTTCTATGCCGTGGACATTGATGACATTCCGTGTCCACTCCTTGGCCGCCATTCTCCACCACCAGCCAAGTTCCCGAGACTAAGTTCCTGAAGATCTATGGCTTCGGAATTTCATTGGCTGTCCGCTATTGTGGATATTCTTCTTCGCGGAATCTTGTCTCCTTGGAGTTTCGCCTACTCAATTCCACAATACTGAACGTAGATCATCGAGAAGTGAAAATTCGGATATCCTATGACGCCAGAGGCACGATAGAGGCTAGATTCGTAAGGATGTAGTGTTCATGTTGTCCCTCTATGGGGGAATTTCTGTTAGTAAAACCTCGCGTTTCTCTCCACAATTTTGGTTTTCGTTGGAGTTGTCTGATTGGATGTTTGGTTGTCGGGTGCAACTGTCTGAATACAGACTCGTGCCGTTTTCTATTCCTCTGTGTTTAGTCATGAAAACCTTCCAAGCTTGAACTGCACAATTGCAAGCCTTTCAAACGGACAGAAGACTCGTAAGTGAAGGTGTCTTTTGACAAGTTTCAACACACCGCGCAAAGAGGATTCTTTCGCTCATGCGATCGCCAACAACTTCGGATACACTGTCAGCACGCCTCCAGGTCCAAGTGCTCTGGTTGGAGATTTCACATGCTGAGAATGATCTTTCCGTTTTCCAGAGACGAGAGCCTCATCACCCTTTACTGGAGCGTTCATACGTAGTCCGATAGTATTGTCGAGGCTTCTCTGGCGGTAGTAATGGCATGTTTCGACGACTAAATATATGTTCAGACTGAGCGAACTGGTACCCGGCACACACATATAGGCTTTGCGATGTTCTCGAAAACGAGCGGCGCAGTCCCTTCTCAAGACAGTCGGCTATTGTAGTTCCAAAAAGTTCAACGGTGTCTGGGTTCGTATGCTTCTGGTGGTTTGGGAACGCATCCCGCCTTGCGATGAAGCTCAATATCAATATTCAACTCATCTACTGCTCCACAAGTAAAAACTTGCAGAGACCTATTTTGCAGTTAGTCAACTATGGTGAGGGGTTGCTCTCCTTCGTTTGTGAGAGGGTTCCTGTTATTGGAATAAGGTGAAGCAGAGCATGTAGGCAACTGGGCGAGCTTGTGGCTCTGCCTGGTGCCGCTTGAATGATATTGATAAGGCTGTTGGACCCAACCGGCCTTAGCCATGCTGGTAATAGATGCAATGCAGCATTGTAGTTCCTGAACAACATGTTCTGCTCGCTAGGATTCACAAGTCGCCTAGTGGTCATCTGGGCTCGAGCTAGCAATTGTGGGAACGACGAAAACCCATGCTCCAGCCTCTTCCTACAATTCGAAAAGAGACACAACGGCCTAGCATAAAAGAATGAACGTTGGATGACTCGACCGAATTTGAGAATCGATACTCGTTCAGATACTCTTCAACCAGATTCGAGAGCTGGTTAAGCGAATGCCCATTTCCTTTGTATGGTATGTGTGTTGTTGCAAAGTGATGAAGTCATAGTTCCGCGCCGTCTCTTCGCGAATTCGACATGCCTGTGTCTTAAAACCACCGCTAGGCAAATGGTGTGTTGCTAAGCAGGGGTCTTGGCAACCGAGAACTCAGCCGGTACTAGCATTTCTCGACTGTGAATCTCGATGTCAACTTCTTTTCGATCGAAGGAATTCGTGGCAAGAACGGTAAATCGGCTTGACCTGTTCATTCCTTGGAGCCGTATCGACGCAGCGTACCGTCTGGGCTCTAGGCGGCGCTCTAGGGCAAGCCGCCCCGAAGGTTCGCACCTCCTAGACGCTTCAGAATGTAGCCAGACCTCGTGGCAGAAGTGCTCCTGACCAATCGTGATGCAGCACGAGGGAGATGGAGTTGAGTTGCAGACCAGTGGTCGGGAGATGGACACGCAGATCTGCGGTGAGTGTTAGCTTAAAAACGTTTGGCAGCAGGGGAATAGGATATCCCGGCTCGTTTGGAAGAGAAAAGGCTTGGATTGGCGGGATCGGGTGCTGGGCATCGTTGGCAAGCTTCCCGGGTGGCTGGGGATGGACGTCGAGTGGAATGGGTTTCCCGCCGTGGTGGAGCACGATGGAGTCTTGTTTCTCGAGTGGCGAAGGCAACTGTTGGGGATTCGGGGGACGCTGCTCCCGCCCAGTAGTTCTTGATGTATTGCTCTTGAACAGTACTCGGAACGGATATTCGTTGGCAATGGAGCGGGTAACTTTGAAAAATGCCAAAGATGGCGCGCTGATGCGCACGTTTATCCATGGTGTGCCTGACACTCCGGACTAACGCGGCAAAGACGGGTTTGGATTGTCTTGGACGCCGAGGCTTTGGTACGCCGCAAGCTGCGTTAAGACCGGTAGCGCTCCGGATCAGCGACGGTTGAACAGCTCGCGATTCGGGTGGCTGGTTTCAGACCAAGTCGAACAATTTGTGTACAAATACAAACATGTGAGTGACGGAGTGGACGGAGTGATTCTAACATGCCCAAGTCAACGATGGGTGCATTTTGTCGAAATTGGCTGACAATTGAGCAGAGGTTCTGAGTCGGAATGAGGAATCGGTATATTGACAATCAAACGAGATTTACGCAGGAGCCTAAGCTATAGCAGAAATACGGAGAAAGAGAAGAGTCCGGTTGCGACTCGGTCTTTCGATGATTGATAGCTGAAGGATGGAAGCGAAAGAAGATCGCGGCGGCGCCGAAGCATGGGCCAACGGCCTGGTCAGAGCTGTTACTTCCATTCTAGAGCGGTTCAGTACGTACCGCTCTGCCCAGAACAGCAAGCTGCTTTTCCCTACCTTACCTTAGGTAAGGTTAAGATGGACACATATCTGCTAGAGCAAATACGGCTATAGCATGGTACGAATCATCAAAGATTGCGTTAGGTCGATTATCTTAGCGGCCCGCCAGATCCGAGGAGGCTTTTCCACAGGGAACATACCGACTTTCCAAGAATTGTTTCTCAACGACGGTGCCTGAATGTGAGGGTTGCACCAGGTATCATCGCCTGATTATCATGCTCCGGTACCTAATGCACCCGCTATGCATGCCTGACTTCCGATGAAGCTGAGCTGGTGGATGGAAATTGTAGGTATTTTCGCACTGAGTGACCTGGTCCAGTGAATTCGACGTCAGTGGTTATCGCCACAATACGTGTATCCATAGTGTAGTGAGGGAGGTAGGTAACATGGAGCTGCCTGGTAGAAATTGGTACATACCTTAGGTAGGTTGCCTACCTACTCCGTACGTGGTTGTTGTTTGTGCGGAGAGTGACATGTGTCATTGGGAATTGTGCTATCAACCTTGTTTTTCTGCCCGAGTGCTGCAGCAAACTAGGTCCGGATGCTGCCGCCATCGTCTTTTCGGTTTCGTTTTACTCGCACACGTTTTTCAGTCATGTTGCCTTGGCTTGAGATGAATGGCTTGGAATGCCTCACAGGTTCCAATCGTTCGCAATACTCCGTAACCAATACCAGTGGCTAGAGCGACCAGACTCCCAGAGCAGGTGTTCGTACCGCTAAGCAGCGCCGTGCGTGCTGATGCCATCCATGATCCCGGCACCATTACCCCTGCCCCCGTATCCCGGTTTCGACCAGTTTCGGGCAGGTCGAGCTGCAAAGGAAAACGGCCAAAAAAAACACCAGTGTGTACCACCAGTCCACCACCCACTCGCGCTCCATCTGCCCTTGTCCGTCGACGGTTTGCCGGTTCCAGGCCAGGGCCCAGGAAAGGGCATTCCAAACCAGACATCTTGTCAAGGTAGGTATTCCTACACTAAATGCTAAGTGACTGAGAGGTGTGTGTGGTTAGGTGGGTAAGGTAGGTAGGTACCTCTGTTACCGCCCGCCCACGCACACACACCGTACCGCTGTAGAATCATCATATGAATACGAGATATCCCTTCCTCGTCCTTTCTCATCATCCACTCTCGTCCATTCATTCACCCATGTCTGCGGCCTACCTGTGCCTCTCTTCTCCAGGCTCTCTCCTCCCCTCTGTTCCTACAGATACTCCTCCTGCCTCTCTCAGCTCACTCGTCAGCTTCTTCCCCAGACTGTATTCGTATCCGGGTTCTGGACCCTGACCTGATCCCGCCTTCGCCTTGTTCTTAATCGACCCGGCTCGAGCAACCGCCGTCTGCAAGTGTCCGCTGTCTGGCCCGATTCACCACTGCGGATACAAGTAGTGCAGTCTGCGGCTTACTGGAGTCTGGCTTCCCTGTTTGGCTGAATCACACCCCAAATCCAGAATCACACCAGCGCCCTGCCGGTCCGCTCATCCTTGCCGTCGGTTCTGCGCCGATTTGGGGACAATCTTGAATATCAAAGACAAAACCCCTGCAAGTCGACCATTATCTTGCACCTGCCTCCCGCCACTACGGACCTTTCTCGCCTCTACCTTGCCGCTGTTCTCCTGAGGCTTTTCCACGCGCGCCGTCAAAACACGATCGATATTCCAACAACAACAATTTCTCCAGCAATCTTCACGACAACTCGGCTCCATTACTCCGTACCCTTTGTGCCGTTGCCCCAGCAGAGTATTGCTTCGACCTCACGCAGAAACGTACTAGTCGCTTAACATCCCAGTCGAGGCACCCCAAACACCTCCATCTCGTCTCGGACAGGACCCTGAGCTCTCCACCATTCATCAAGGCACTTTCCGCTGCTTCGGGAAGCCCACTTACGATCTTCCGTGTCCTCCGAGCCACCTCCAAACTTCGACCCAGCCAAGGCATGCGACACAATTGAATACCTACATGTCTTTTGCCATTGCTTCGCAGCACTTGGTTCGATTTCTTCCAGACATCACCGCTCCAGCTACGACATAACCCGCATTCGCCGTCTTCGTGTGCACACCCATCAGCATTCTTCGGGCATACCAGCCCAGGAGTTCCCGAATCGCCCGGTCGCTCCTTTGCGCCAACCGCCCACGATGGCCCGATTCGGAGGCTCGACCTCGCTCGCCGCGACCTTGATCATCCTGTTCAGTTTCTTTGCTTCGGTCTTGGCAGCTACGGAAACTGTCTACATCACCGGCTCAGATAAAGATGGCAACAGCAAGCAGCTCGCGGTCAATCGCAATCCTGGACTGTTTACGGGCGATTTTGGCGACTGTCTGGGAGGACAAAGTTTGTTCAACATTACGAAATTCGATGCCGCCTACTATGCCGACAACATGACCGTCCAGTTCCATTTGGACGGGACCACCAATATTAGGAACGAATCATTGATGAGTAGGTTGAACCAAATTTGAACTGCAACCCATGTACTAATCACATACTGCAGTGCATATCAACGTCGAAGCTTGTAAGCTGCATTCAGAGCTTGGGACGAACCTGTACGCAGAGATGGGGTATGCTGACTTGAGGCAGATGGCGAGACGAGATTCGAGATGAACTTTAACCCCTGCATGGCCAACATCGCTAGGTGCGTTCTAGCCCCTACGCCTCTCAAGACGGTCTGCTAACTTCCCGCAGTCTGTGCCCTCTGAACGCCAGCAAGCCCATCACTGCATTTGCAGAGTTCAGACTCACGCCTGCTCAGATCGACGGCATTCCTTCCATCGCCCTCGATATTCCCGATTTCGAAGGTTCTGCGCGCATCCAGATCTTTGCAAACTCGAGTCAGACGCAGATAGGATGTTTCCAAGCCGTCATGCGGAACGGCAACAGCTTCTCCCACCCAGCCGCTATTTCGTCGATACTGGGCGTGTTCACGCTCGCCGCTATCCTGGCTTCTGCAGCAACCGCCATGTATGGTGTTAGCATGCCTCATATCAGGACCCACTATGCCCATTCTCTGTCAGTCCTGGTCATCTTCGAGACTTATCAGACCGTTTTCTTCTCGGGTGCCTTGTCCGTCGACTGGCCTAGCGTCCTGCCCGCCTGGTGGAGCAACTTCGGATGGGCCGCTGGCATGATATACAGCGAGAAGGTAATCAACTCGATCGACGGTTTCGCCGGCGTGACTGGTAATGCCAGCCAGGTAGGCGGTGCAGGGTCGACCGTTATCAACACCGGGGGTGGCCTCGTCCAGCAAATCTATGGCCGCTCGCTCGACACTTTCGCGACGTCTAGCGATGGAGCGTCCGTTCCGACTCTCGTGCAGCGAGCGACTAGGGCTTACAACACGAGCAATCCATACGAATACTACTGGGCGGGAGGCCCCGTCGCTCCGGGCATGCCTACGCCAGGCAAGTGGATTGGGTTCGCCGGAGACCTTTCTGCCCTCGGCATTCCGGCCGCCGATGCCTTCACACTTGGTCTTATCTGGTGGTTGGTGGCCATCGGACTAGTCGCCGTCTCCATCGTTGCGTTCAAGTTCATGCTCGACTTGCTTGCTCGGACAAAGCTGATCAAGCAGGATCGCTTCTTGTACTTCCGCAATCACCTGGGCGGATATCTGGCAGTTGGAGTCCTGCGCACGTTACTCGTTTCGTTCTCCTCCCTGATGACCCTGGCGCTGTTCCAGTTCAATATTCGCGCACCGGCTGGCCCGACAGCCATCGCGGCGATTATCTTCATTATCTTGCTCATTGGCGTTGGCGGCCTTGTAGCTTACGCATGTTTCTTCCGTCTCCGCCTCGGCAAGTATGAAATGGGCCCCGATACGATCATGTTCGAACAGGGCAAACTCTTTGGCTCAATACCAGCGGTTGCAACAACGCGTGCCAGCGAAATTGGCGAGAAGGAAACCACCGCCAAACGATACGGTTCCATGCCGTTCTTCAAGATCCGATTCATTGACGACGACCCAAACCGGACAACGGTCCACCAAGACGAGGTTTACATCAAGCGTTTTGGTTGGCTGTCGGCTCGTTATCGCCGGACCAGATGGTGGTTCTTCGCCTGCTGGCTAAGCTACCAGTTCATTCGGGCCTGCTTTATTGGTGGCGGAGCACGAAGCCCCCTTGCCCAGGTTTATGGATTATTCGTCTTTGAGATTATCGCTTTCATCGTCTTTGTCAAACTGAACCCCTTCGAAGGCCAGAGAAACACTTCCTTGGCAATCTGGATGCTGGGCATCACCAAGATTGTCACTGCAGGATTTTCTATTGCCTTCTTACCGGCATTCGCCATTGGCCGCATCCTCTCGACGGTTTTCGGCATTATCATCATTGTTGTCCAAGGATTTCTTGTTGTTGCCGTTTTGATTCTTATTGTCCTAGGCGTCATATCATCATGGATGTCGCTTTACCGAAATCGCGAACAGTTCCCCGAAGTGCTGGATGGAATTCGCATCAAGTACTATGAGCATATCCAGGCTAGAGCTACCGACCTTCCGCCGCCACCGAAACCAGAGTCGAAGACCGAAGAGCCTCGGGAGCCACCGCAGCCATATTTCTCGGTCAACAGCGTTCGCCGGACTCGCAAGATTGAGGATGACGACGAGGAGGACCAGGTTGGAGATATCATTCGGCCAGCTAATGCTTCAGTGGTACAATTTGCGCCAGGTACTACCACCACCCGACGAACACGAACAGATAGTGTCAGCTCGCGCTACTCTGTTGGTAGCTTGCCGCGCCGCGCCAGACCACACCGCACCTCATGGAGTTCAGCTGATTTTGCTGAATGGGATGCCAACAATAATGCGGATAGGCCCGGATCATCGCTCGCACACCGTAGCAGCTTCGGTCATCAGCGCAAAGTGTCACACTCTGGATCGCAACCCGACCTCGGACGCTCCGCCAACAACTCACCGGCGCCTGCAAGATCCGTGTCAATGACGAACAACGAATTACGCCGTCTCATGACTCCCACCGAGGAGCTTCCAGAGGAGAGTGTAATGACACCCGGGAGCATGGCCGAGCCTGAGACCAGCACCAAACACACTGATACCGCTATTTCCCCCATCCACGAAAAGGACGAGCATGAAGTAAGGGGGGAGAATGTCTCTCCTGTTGAGGAAAAACACCAAAAGTCTTGAGCTACCATTACGAACATCAGAACCAAAATGCGTTCCACAACCATACTGCATCAGACCTTGACACCACAAGTGCCTCCATTTCGAAGCCATGTCGATAATGGTTTCCTTGTTGTGGAATCGTATTGCATAGACGGTCAACATGTTTGACCTTTACGAACTTTTATGAGAAACGATTACTGGGCGTTAGCGGGAATGCTCATTTGAAGAAGCAGAAGAAGAAACCCCTTATCTTTGTAATGGCACTAATATGTGGAGGACAGGCCGGCCGTCCCGGCCGTTGCTTACATCTTGAAACGTGCACATATTTGTGTGGCCTCTGGATGAGCCGCAGTACATGGATACACACTTATAAAAGCAAGAAAGTGGCTGGCTCCTAGCATAGAGATTGAGTTGACAGGTAGACCTAGAAAACAGGATAAAGTCTTCCCTAACATGAAGTCGTTTTGAACCAGGCGTGAGCTGCTCCCATTCGTGCACAAGAATATACAGACTCAACCCTCGCTATTTGCCCTGCTTCGAGCTCTCAAGCTCTTTGGGCCAAGGTGGTTGATCTAAAGTTTTCTGGTTCTATTTGTTCTGTCATTCACCAAAGGGGATCAAGAGACTAAGGTGAGTAGCACCGCCACTTATTCTTCCAACTCAAGTGCGCCACGAGAAGGGAGCAGTTTGTGCTCGAATGTGGCAAATAGACAGCAACAAGGCTACCTGTGGCGATGAGCTGTGTACAGTTTTGAGGCTGATGCTCTGCGGAATTCATGCAGAAGATGGGATGAGTGTTACGGAGTTGGGCAACGATGGCGAGTGGGATTTGAGCTGGTCGAGCCGGTGATTGTGGCTGGTGTTTTGAGGGTCGGGGTCGGGCATGGTTATCAGATGGGCCACATAGATTTTCTCCTTTCTAATTTGATATTTTCGACTGATGAACTGGAAATTTTTCATGTTGGGTTCTGCTAGGAAAGACTGCCACTTTTGGTTGTTTCTTTCGGAGAGGGCCGAGGCACGTTTGGCTGGAGGCGGTTTCGCGCAATGCAATACGCAGATGGAATAGTTCTGGGAAGGTTGAACTCGTACATCTTTAGATATCTCTATGGATGACTAGAGAGAAAGGCGAGATGAGCTTCGTATATCAATTGAGTGAGTCTAATCATGAACAATTTGAAATCATCCGGTGAAGCGGAGGGCATTCCGGCGCGGCCTTGCTACGCCCCCCACTTCCGTCCGCCACCAATTGCGGAGGAACATTCCCCGACTTCTACACCTCGACGGCAGCAAGTGCCCGAGTAAACCATACCCCCCCATCGGGACCCTGGATTCGACTACTAGACGGATGCGAGTGCGAGCAAGGACGGAAGAACCCTAGGACGCCCGCCACATACACTCTGACCGTCCACCACGTACGTACGTCCCTTGCTATTAATCAGATTAGAGACATTAGAGAAGAATTATGTGTAAAAGGAGACGGCTTAATTCATAGCAGATAAGAGAGACATGAGGTGCGAGAGCCTCCGTCATCATCTCGCTGATGTCAGACGAATGGGGGAGCGCGGGGTCAAAGTCTATCCGACAACGCGTGTCGCAGAAACATCTCATGGGAGCTTTGATCAGCCACACATACTTCTCGCATCGAGCCACGACGCCTTCATCTGATATTTCTCCCGTCGGACCCCCGATTCTACACTGCCATACTATGTTATGTATTCGCTGGCTGCCATGTTCAGCTGGCCATGTCTTCGCACCCCTTCGTCATTGCTCACATCATCCTGTATTGCCACCCAGACCCCGACCCCGATCTTGAACCCCCCCTTGAAAACAGTGAGGCATTGACAGGTCTATATCAAGCTTGACTCCCGGCTTCATTCTCTTTGTACAACTACACTAGAAACACAGTCTTCAAATCAAATTTGGCAGACCTCAGCCCCAAACCTTGCAGCAACAGCAAACACCATCCATCTCACCACACTACTACAAATCAACAACTGTCTATCGCCAATTACAACTTCTATTCTTCCTTAGAAAGAAATCTCGAAATGTGCTGCCGAAGACGCCGCGCAGCCCGCCAAGCCTGGCTCGAACAACGCGCCCTCGGAGGAGGTCCCCGAGGCTGCGGTGGCCCCCGCCACTTCGGCCCCGGCCCAGGAGGCCCACCCTTCCGTCCTCCCTGGGCATCAGGAGGCGGCGGCGGCGGCGGCGGTCCCCCCTTTGGCAGATGGCGCGCCATCCCACAAGACAACGTCCCCCAAGACCCCTTCCGAGATCCTCCAGCCGCTCCTCGCAACGACCCAGCGATTAGAGACCCGGAAAAGGGCGCCGTTCAGATGAACGTCAAGGACGTGGAGAAGAGCACGCCTACTCCCCCTGCTTCCGCGCCTACCCCGGCTCCAGAGGGTGATTCAAAGAGGGTGTCGTTCATGTCTGGTCCGTTTTCGCGGTGGAGGGAGTCCGTGAGGAGCGGTGGTGGTGGTGATGATGTGAGGAGGTCGTCTTCGAACGCGACGTTGCCCCCTAGGTATACTTCTGGCGTCACGGAGGCGCCGCCATACTGGAGCGGTGAGCAGGCGGGGAATAGGCGGTCCCTGCCGCCGAATTATGATGTGGCGATTAAGAACTAAGGAAGGTGGATCACGGGAGATGTATCACGGGAATGTTGGGGCGTGTGAGATTGGACCATGTTGACGGGTTTGATTTGCGTGGAACAGGTTGCAAAGTTATACAGAATTGGGAAGGGTGTATTGTTCTTTTACAATATTACAGAGAATTATACGTAGTACGCTGTTTGCCGCAATTGTTCGCACTGGGTATTGTAAAACGTGAATCCAAGTAAAATAGAATGAGAAAAGTCCGTCCAACGCCCTGCACCATCGCTCGGAAAAATAGCAATTAGTTGTATACCATGTACCATGTGTAATAGAGCGCAAAAACGGTCTCGCTGGGATACTTTTCAAGCTCAAAACTCGAAAACTCAATCCCAATCTTCGTACCCGCCAGCTCCGTAGGGATTCCACTCCTGGCCGGGGTAACTCGTCGCGCTCATCTGGGGCACATCCGCCGGCTCCTCTTCCTTCCTATACTTGACCCCTCCTGACGACAGCTCTTCGTACGGGTCGACCAGGATCTTCTCCTCCTGGGCCTCGCGCCGCATGGTCCTCTGACGTTCGTCTTCCGTATCCTCCAGCTCGGCTCGCGTGCTCTTGCCCCTCGCTAGGGTAGTCGAGGCGGCGGCGGCGCCGCCGCCAGCGCTGCCATTGGCGTGGCTGGCGTTTCTGGGCGCTTCGTCGGCAGAGCTGTCGCTGACCATGCTGTGGCCCGTGTTTGAGGCAACTATGGGCTGTGCTACCGTCGACTGGGAAGGATTGGAGGGCAGACGTGGTGTGGATTCGTAGAGGTCATTGTTGTCCTTGGGTTCTTGGTTTGCTTGCTGCACGTTGACGCTGAGGCGAGGTGCCGTGGGCGCTGGCGCTGGCGCGGGCGCGGGCGGTTCAGACGATATGATGTTCTGCGCCGGCCCTTGCTTGCCGTCGGAAATGCTACGAGAGTTGTTCCCCATCATACTACCATCATCGATTGCAAGGCCTTGCGTCTGCTGAGTGTGCTCCTGAGGATGGGGAGATGAAGGCTTGTTCTCCTTTGCGGTTCGGGCCACACTGTTGGCATACGTTTGCCCTGCAGCAGAGTTGGTCTGTTGCTCTCCCTGAGCCTCTCTACTATTACTATGCTGTATCTGGGGAGATGCTGCGGCTAGAGCCGCCGCATCAACAAGGGAGTATCGTTGCTGTTGAGGCTCTTGCGCCGGCGGCATGGTTTGCTGACCAAACTGCGGGTCCGGACCCGCGATACGGCTGTCATTTTGGTTCACTAACCGTATGCCTCTCGGGTCTTGTTGTGGCTGATGTTGCTGATTGGGAATTGGCACGTCACCCTGCGGACCGGCATGGGCCGCCTGCGTGCTATGGCTGGCATGTGAGATGTTGGACTGGTGCGAGGCCATGCTCACGCGCCGGTCGCCCTCGGGCCATGCACCTCCTTGTGGGTGGCTGTGAAGCAGCTGCTGTCCTTGCTGTATGGGAGGGCTGGGGTGGCTGTACATTGATATTTCGGACGGATGTCTCTGGGCAACAGGAGGCTGACCCCATTGTGGCACCTGCGGTGAATGGTAGGCAGGATACTGAACCGGTGGTGAGGTACGTGAGAGGGCGTAGGGGGATGGCGCTACGCCTCCTTCACCGTGAACGGCAGCATATCCTTGTGGAATAGGGACTTGGTCGTACTGAGGTTCAACGAAAGGTTGAGGGTTGGAGCGTACGCTTCCACTTGGCCCAGGACCGTTCGGAATTGCCCGAGTCATGACAGGTTCGAAAGGTACGTCCTGTTGGCTTGAGAATCTTCCATTATTCTGCTGCATCGCTTCGGGGGTTCTGCCAGCCATGTCGCGTTGAGGGGGAGGCCCTTGCTCAAAGGAACCCATGGATGGGCGCTGTTCTTGGTACATGTGATGAGGTCCTTGTTGTGGCAGATGACTTCTCTGTGACAACGGAATGGCTGGCGGCATCCTTTGCTGGCCCTGGCTCTTGTGAGACTGCTGCGGCTGCGGCTGCGGCTGCGACTGTTGAACCTGGCTTGGATGTATCTGTTGTTGTGGCCGAGGTTCTGGCTGCTTGGATGATCGCTTAAACGCATTGAAAATAGACTTAGTTGTCGACTCTTTCGGGGGACCTGGGTTAGGCCGAGGCTGTGGTTGCGTTGATGTCCTATTCTTGAACCACTTGGACACTGGGTTCTGTTGACCATCAACACCGGAGTCTTGACCTCCAGACTGCATGCCGTGGCTTTGGGGGAAAGGGAGCGAAGAACGTTGATTCGGTGGGGGAAATGCTTGAGAGAATTGAGCTGGAGGTCTGTTTTCATGATCAAAGCTCTGGTGCTGATGCTGAGATTGATGTGGGTGCTGTTGCTGTTGCTGTTGCTGTTGAGGTTGAGGTTGAGGTTGGAGAGGCTGCTGAGGCTGCTGAGAGTGCTGAGAATACTGCTGCTGCTGCTGCTGCTGCTGCTGAGGACGTCCTGGAGAAGCGAGTCCTGGCATTTGCTGACCCATTCCATCAGGTTGCTGCATGTTGGCAGGTCTACCAGGCTGTGAACGCCCCTGAGACGACTCGGGCGGAGGCACTCTGCTTTCAGAGACCACAGGTGACCTCGGAGCCGGCATCTGAGTCACAGCCGCCGGTTTGGGCGAGTTCGATATCGAGGACTGTTGCGAGGTATCGGACTGGCCAACCACCCCATTGGGAGATTGTGCCCTGAAGTTGGAGGAGGGAGACAGCAACGACGCAGATTGCTCCGAGATTCGCCTGGCGTGGCCAGACTTCTGGACACCGAGAGCCTGTTGGTGATTGGCGCCTTGCCCCTGGCCCAGAGGCGGTGTCTGGGGCCCCGGCGAGTTCTCACGTCCGTAGCTGTGTCTGATTGATGGCTCCGGCGTTGGCTCGGCCGAGAATCCGGGAGGAACCCAGTGGGTTTCAGTCTGGTCTTCTGACTGCTCAGGGCGCGAGAGTTGCTCCTCTGCCTGCAGAAATGATAGAGAAGGCTGTCTCTGCTCAGTGAGATGGCGACGTCCCGGCAATGGTTGCTCTCTCTGTGATGGGGGCGCCGGAGTATCAATGGATTGCGAAGGATTCGACTCCATACTCAACATCTGACTGGACTTTCTCCGTGAGACAAATTCATCGTGCGGGGCTTCGCGGCCAGCCGCGATAGGAGCTTCACGGCGTTCGCTCTGCAAGTCAGACACCGGTCGTGCTCGCGCTTCTTCCACAGCGGAACTTCTTCTCTGTTGATCTGTCACTGTATCAAATTGCTGCGACGGTTGAGGAGAGGGTAGGAAAGACCCATTGGACTTTCTTTGATGCAGTTCAGGTCCCTGGGGCTGGGACTGAGGCTGAGGCTGAGACCGAAGGCGTGCGCCAGCTCCCGGGTGCATAGAAAAGCCTTGGAAGCGAGGTGACTCTTGCTGTTGCTGCGAACCGAACCCCTGAGGCGGACTTCGCATCGGTGGCTGACCTTCATCCTCGCGCCTTGGCTCGAGGTTTGACGGCGCTGCCTGTTGACCGGGATGCTGCTGCACTCTGAACTGTGCCGGGACACTTGCGTTCTGGTCTTGTGCTTGAGGGAGTCCATGCTGCGCCTCGATTGTCCTATTGGCAGCGCGTTTGCCAAAGAGTCCAGAGAGAAACCCGCCTGCTGAGCTTCTCCTGCCTCGCTCGTCATTTTCGACGTTACCTAGTGGCTTATTCACCAGGGTTTCCTGTGCGAAAAGTTGATTTGTACCAGTGGTGTTGCTCCTCTCTCTCCCCTGCGCGGCTAGGGGGCTAGGTTTGCCAGGTTGACTTCCTTGCGTGCTTGGCGGACGACCAAACATGGTCGAAGTTGTAGAAGAATGAGATGTGCTAGGTTTCTGTGGCACCTGTAAATCCTGCTGACTCGAACTACGAGGGAACACCTTGCTCGTAAAGCCAGAGAACCTCTTCTTGGGAGGGCCCATTGCTCCGCCTGCTACTTCATATCCAGCAGTGGACGTTGACGAACGAGACAGGTTGGGCATTGGGAGATTGGCGGATTGATCAGCACCTGGACCGAAGAACGACCGTTTTCTCTCCGCAGGCCCTCCCGGTGGTGGCTGGACCTGGGACGGACCCCCCGGGTTCGGACTCGCCTTTGGCGACGGCGTGATCACTTCACCACCATCGCGACCCTGGGGGCCTCCAACATCGGAAGGTTTGGAACCCCGTAAATTGAGGAAAAAGCTTGAACGTCGTCTCTGGCGGTCTTGAAGCTCTCCTGTGGCAACACTCGCCTCGGACACGGCATCTCCTCGCACGTCTGGACCGGCCATGTAGCTTGGCGCTCCACTCTCGGCCTTGGACGCTGGCCGTTCCCGCGAGGTGTGACGCGAGATGCGACCTCCGATTTCTTTGAAGAAGCCAGAGCTTCGCCTGCGCCCACGCTCCTCATCTACTGAGGGGTCGAAGCCGCTGACTTCGGAGTCACCCGTCTGTGTCCTGTACAGCGAGGCAGAATCGCGGTTGTAGAAATGCTGACCGAGGTCTTCCGAGCCTCGTGGCCCTGTGGGTGAGCTGGGGTTCTGAAATCCTGCTTGCGGGGTGAATAAGCCAGGATAACGCTGTGCTGATGATGGAGGCACTTCAGAGAACTTCTGCCTAGGCGGCAACTGCGTCTCGGGTCGTTGGGCCGCCGTCGAAGGCACACCAGTCTCTTTATCGATCCCGAAGGAGGTTTGCTGGTGAGGTGACAGAGATCCTCCTGACTGCCGGTTTCTGCTGGTTGCCAGTGGCTCAGACAAATGCGACTCCTCGAGCTTCCATGGGCCTTGTGGAGGGAGGTGATGGATCGGGTTGCCTCCGAAAGTTGGGGACATTATCCCTTGGTGAGGAGGCAAACCAGGGCCAAAGGGTGGACCGCTCGTTCGACCCTCATTCTGTTCCATCGCTGCTCTTGTGTCAATGGGTCCTGGTACACGGCCGGCGCCCTTCATTGCTACTCCCGGCCCAAGAGGTCTCTTTTCGTCGTCGATTCTTAGATCCTGCCCAGTCATCCCACTGCTCTCGGTCGCTAGCGTGGCCGCCTGCGTTGATGTTGCCGAAAGGACGTTGTGTGACATGTTGCTGTCTTTGCGGAAGCGCGATGGCCCAGTGTCGACGCGCATGGGTTGCGCAGACTGTGCAGACCAGCTAGGTTCCCCTTGATGGAATCGGGATGAAGAGCCGCCATCGTTGCCATGTTGGTCATTTGTCGTGGTGACCGGAGAGGAAACGAAATTGTTATCATCGTCTTCGTCCAAGGGAAAGCGTTTCTTCGCCCGCTTGGTCAGATTGATGCCGAATGTAGAACTTCGCCTGATGGGCGGGAGGCCAACAAAGGAAGATTGGCGCTGGGGAGAAGTCTGCTGTGATGGCAGATGGTTTATGGTCTGTTGTTGCTGTTGCGGCTGCTGTATCGGCTGCTGCTGGACCGACTGCTGTTGAACCGGCTGCAACTGATGACTCGGCTGCACAATAAAAAGACCCGTTGAACTAGAACCATGAGTCAAATCATGATCATCCTCATCAACTTCTCTGCTCGATTCGGTAGGCTCGAACGAACGCAGCGCCTGTGGCGGTGACTGAGGAGATACCACGTGGATCTGACCAGAAGGAGGCGACTGCGGCGACACAACGACCCAGTCGTCATACGGGTCATCAGCCGTGTTTGCACGTGGTCTTACAGCGGCGATAGTGTGTGTGGCTTGAGAAGGAGGAGGAGGAGGAGCTTGACCCTGACCTTGACCTGCATGAGACGCAGGAGGGCTCGGATCCGTGGACTGTCCCATCTCGAACCCCTCCTCTTCCACCAAGGGTGTGCCCGTGAAGGGGTCCCATGACGGCTGGGTCTTGCTGATGGGTCTAGGAACCTGGAGGTCACCTCCCGCGGAATAGTCGTCGCCGGGCGTGTCCTTAGCTTGGAACCGGGGCGTCGTTGATATGGAGTGTGTGTCCGAGACGGGGGACACCGGCTCCGAATCACTGTCTCCGGGAGGCCCGGCAGACTGCTGGGGCGGCGTATGGGGCCGCGGTGGGGCCCAGGCCGAAGCTTGATCATCACTACCCTGAGTCAAGGTATCAAATGGGGATGTACGTGAGGTCTGGGGTAGTTGAGGTGGTGGAGTCGGAGATGCCGGGTGTTCCGGGATGGTCTGTGGAGTTGGGCCTGACACGGATCCCGAGTGCGACCGTGAGTGGGCATGGCCGTAGCTGTCGGCACGAGGTGACGAACGCGATCCGAGGCTTATGCCCCATGAAGTACGTCGCTCGGCTCTAGTCTTGGGCTGAGCCGGCGGGGGAGATGAGTCGCTCTGTCGGAGAACACACAATTAGAGATGATTCACCATATAAGATGCCATGTTGGACTTTAGAGTGTCCGAGATCACCACAGGGGTTACATGATGGTGCAGTAATAGAAAAAAGTTTCGTAGCATTCCTTAATCATACAGTCCCGTCATTCTGGCCAGAAAGGGAGACACATAACTCATAAGTGATTACCAAGGGGGGAAAGTGAGGAAGAAAAGTGAAGAGAGAAAAAAACCGATGGGAAAACGGGGTTGCTCGGGACAGATCAGACCGTCGATCCCTCCCAACAACCAAACTAGAAAGAATGCATGCCCTGTGTGATGTGATGATCCCAGTTGAGAGGAATGTTTAAAGAAATACCTTGTCCCCAGTGCCACGGAGTTTGTTCTTTCCCTTGCTCAATAGACCTTTACCCGCCTTGCCAGCCGCAAGCAATAGTCCCTTGCCCTTCGCCCCAACTTGACCGCTCGAATGCTTAAAATCACTTGAAGGCGAATGAGACGAACCAGTGGGCGCACTTCCCGCAGGAGGCCGACCCGAAGCTCCCGCCGCGAGATTAGGGTTGCTTGCGTTGAGGTACTGCTGGTAGTAAGGCTGCTGAGAAGCCGGCTGAGAAGTTGTTGGCGATGACTGCGATTGACCAGGACCAGGAGCGCCAACTCCAAACGATGCAGTTGCGTTGGCGTGCTCAGGATGCTGAGCCTTTAAGTTTTCCAGCCAGTTGTTCAGACCCGAGTCCATCGACGCGAATTGTGAGCGCGTCTCATTGTACTTTTGAATCCTGTCTTTCGCATTGGAAAGGTCCATGATCTCTTTGAACGTTGTGATCTTGACAGGCTGCGTCGATTGGCGTTGAGGAGCCGCTGGAGATGCAGGTGCCTGGCCAGCCTCGGACGACTCTGGCTCCGGCTCAGGCTCGGGTTGAACCTGGGCCAGAGCAGGATGATCGCCGGGCGGTGGGCTGGGTGAGACGGGGTTTGATGAGACCCGAGCCATTGACTTTTCTTCCGCGAGCGACAGTCGGCGGGTGGGTGCAGCCGACGTAGTGTTTTTATCGGCCGTGACTGACACGGGTGACGGCGGTTCGATCACTTCGGAGTCCATGCGATCTCTCGGCGCCGAACTAACCTGCGACACTTGATGAGACATCGCGCCCGCGTCTTGCGGCACGCTAATATGTCCATCGTCCAACCCAGTAGCGAGCGGCGTACGTTCGGAGTCGCTGGCCACCTCTGATTGTGCAGCCTGCAGCTCATGATCGCCTTGTTTAGGAGGCACGTTGCCTTCGCCCGCATCACCAGGTTGGGGGTGAGGCTCGGCGAGGGGGTCCTTCTGAGAGTCAGAGGCCTTTGGCGTAACCTGCTCTCCTCCTGCTTCCCAGGAGAACCGTCGACCAAGTGCAGGAGGCTTGTCCATGGCGTCTTTGCGAGGGCTCAAAGGAGGAACGTCAGAGATGTCTTTGTTGGGGGTAAGCGCCCTCTTTTGCTCTGGCTGCTGTGATGGCAAGCTGGGCACATCGGGCTTGTCGTCGCTTGCAGTCCAATAGTCGTCGTAGACACTGTCGAGATAGGCACTCTCACGAGTGCCGCTATTGTCGACGGCCGGACTCAGCGACTGGTGGTTATTGAAGTTGTTCAGTTCGTGACTTGTAGGGCGGACGGGACTGAGGCTGCGCATAATCTCTTCTCTCAACTTATCGCTCTCCTTGACAGGGGATGGGTCGGCAATGGTGCTCATGGTGGATTCGCGCTGCAGCCTCTCTGGCGCCGCAAAGTCCAATGATGAGCTGCCTGATTCGCGAGGGTTCAGAGGAGCCGAAGTCTCCAGGTCGGCATCCTGGTCAACACGACTCTCCATTTGAGCGGCCCGTTCCGAAGCTTCGGGGATGGAAACGGGTATGGATAGTGTATCCTTCACGGTAGCTACCCCGCCGTTGCCAAACTTGTCGTCTTCGTTGTCAGTGATGGGGGAAACTTCGCCGGGATCCACGCTGAGAATGGGCTTCCGATCGGCGGTAGCAGCGGGCGTCGCTACAGCGGAAGTAGTCTGAGAATCGGCGATGGAGCGTGTTTCGGTGACCCAGCCTCCAGGAATAGACGGTCGAGTGGTTTGCGAAGGCAGGCGAGATCTGCTGGATTCCTCCAAGGCTGGCGGTGTTTGGGATGGTGAACGCGACCTTTCCCTGCTGACTGGTTGAGATGCAGGCAATGATGAGTTGGTTGGCTGCGGAGTCGTGCTGATGATGGGAAGTGGAGACGTCACATCACCGGGCGTCGCAGCAGTGGGAGATTTATCCACAGCTGGCGCTTTCTCTGCCGTAGAAGCGGATTCGGAAGGTTGCGTCTGGATCTGGGATGGCAAACTCGGCATCGGAGGCGCTTCGTGAGCATACTTGTCTGGGTTCGAGAAGAAGTCGTCTCCAAAAAGGGACATGCGCGCCAGGTCGGGCAGTCGAGGGCTCGTGGAGTAGCGGCGGTTCTGGTCAGATTCTTCTGCAGTCGGGCGCTGCAACTGCGGCTCTGGCACACCCAAATTGCTCTCCTGCATGCCTCCTGGAGGACTCAGTCGGCCTCGGTCTGCACCATGGGCCTGAGGTTGTGCTAGAAGCCCATCGAAGCCGTACTCGCTCTTTCTCTCCGCGACTGGTGCCAGGATAGGTTGTCGTGTGGCATTATCGACAACGCCTAGCCCGTCGCCTTTGTCCAAACTGCGGCGCATGGGCTGCTGCTCACCAGCATCGACTACCGGAATTGTCGGATTGGCAGCCGACACTGACGATTCACTCCTAGGGCCAGTAGCACTGTCCATGCTCGGCCTTCCCGACTCCGTCGATCCACCCTCCTTTTCTTTATTGTCGTCCAGCCGGCGATAGATATCCGAGGGTCGGATAAAGTGCGCTGCTGTGGTGTTGGATGGTGTGCCAGGCGATTTGACGTTGGAAGGAGACGCTGATCGTTGCTCTATCCACGGACGCTGCGTAGAGCTCGACCGAGAACCGGAAGCCTGGCGATCACGGTCTTGCTGCCCCATGCTGCTCTTGCGAGGAGGGAAGCGGGCGGCTTGAGTTTGGGCCGGGGCCGGTGAAGTCCGTCTGCTTCCTACAGGCGGAGATGGAGTGCCCCTGGGATATTCCGGGCGGCCAGCGAACGGTGCTGGAACGGGCGCTGGAGCCGGTGCTGGGCTCATCCGTGAAGGCAGGCCAGCGCTGGCGGGCGGAGGTGGTGACACAAGTGGTTCTTGGGGAGCCCTTTCGGGAGCAGCAGCCATTGACGCTGGCTCTGACACGGTAGGAGGCGGCTTCACGTCGTCGACCACAGGCTGCTGTACAACGGGAGGCATAGGCTTCGCCGAGTTCTGAATCTGCAGAGGTGGAAGTCCAGCAGTGGGACGATGGCTGGAGGTCGGTCTGGCTTCATTCACCGTCGGCTGCGCCGGTCGCATTGAAGGCACAGGCTCGGCCGGTTGGGGAGCTGACGGAGCTGGCGGCTGGTGCGACGGAAGAGCTGTATTGGTTGACTGACCGGCTTGGCGGTAGCCCGTGGGCTTCAGTGGCGGCACGGGAACGGGATCATCGGCTTCGTCTTCAAAGTCGTTTCCCCAGTCATCGCCGTCATAGTTTTGAGTCTTGGCCTCGACCCATTTCTTGGTCTTGGTTCTCTTTACGTTGGTCTTATAGGAGGCACTCGTCGGGGTATCGGGGCTTCTACAGGTAGAATTATGTGGTCAGTACCATTCTACACAGGAGCAGGGCCGAGCTGTGGTATGCTGGGAACAGGGTCGTTGAAGCGAAGCTGACGGCTGGAAGAATTCGAATCACTCACAAAGGCGAGTTGGTATGAGGGGCTCTGAAGCCGTAATTATACGACGAGCCGTCCATAGCGTCGTTCGTTTATGTGATGGTTTCGGAACCGTCTACTGCTTCATTGCTCGGCTTCTCTGCCTACGATTGAGGACGTTCCAAGCTTCACCGATGACTCGGAACTGGGTATCGCGAAGCGCGCGGGTTGCGGGTTGCGGTTGGTTCCCGATGGGATCAGGCGGGCTGGCCAGAGACGTTGCGACGCTGGCTCCAACTCAGAACGGACTTTCGGATGGGATAAAGAGCACGAAGTTGAGCTCCCAAGTTGATAACGACGACAGGAATTGGAAAGAAAACAGACGCGTCCCAAAAGGCCAAGGAATCGTCACGTTCTGTCACGGCACAGAGACAGGAACTGGGCTGATAATGATGAAGGTCGGCAGTCTGACAAGGCCCGAATCTCGCTGGAGACGGGCGATGGGCGACGGGGAACCCAAAGGAAGACGGGATGATAATTTGGGGGCTTGGGAAGTTGGCAAGTCGGGGGGGACGTGGCTTGGGTTGGGGCGGGCTACGCAAGGACAGGAGGTACATGTGCTGTAGTGGCGGGGAAGGCTTGGACTGATGTATCTTTTGTCGTACCCTTTGATGAGGTAGCAGCGCGACCCAGCCCCAGCCTGCGCGATACTGCGTATGGTGCCGCCCTCTTCTTGCCTGTGAACTCACTGGACTTTTTTGTTTCTGCCTTCTCGGTGCGGGAACATCTCATCAGCTGGGCTGCACACTTCATGCCGGGCTATCCCAGCGCTGTCGCTTTGGAATGTCAATCATCAGCAAAGCAAAGGCGGGAAACTACTTTGACCACCAATGCCACCCTTGGAGGACAGACCCGTTGGACGTGCTGAAAAAGAGGGGAACGAGCTGGGGGTATTTTCCAATGGAAGCTCGAGGATGCCACCGACTGGATCACGAAGAACAGGGATGTTTCGTAACCGGCCGCCTAGTCAAGTTGGTGTGGCTTGAGCCTTGGAAGTTCTTGTTCTTCAAAGTGCTGTCCGCTTGGGTGCGTATGGACTTGTATGCCTTGTGAGAGAGTAGGTTTTGTATGCAAGAGATTCGGAGACCATGAGGCAAAGTTTTGTCATTGCGGCCTTGATTCAGTCTAAAGTGAGTGACGCGAGTGTAACAACTACAGTTGCGCTTGGTTCGAAGGTGATTGATTCAAAAACTTGAATACCATACTCCGTACCATACAACAGAGATGCTGTGGAACACAGTCAGCCGGTCCCCATTCGCGTCGTCTCAACGGCGCAGTGCAGTCAGTTAGTTGGTGAGGTGCACCCTCTTTCTGTAAGTGAGAACCCATAAGGTAGGTAGCTCGTGTTTTGAATGCGGAATAACCATACTTAAGGTACAAGTCAAGGGCACATCAAGATAGCAAGATTCCATGTTCGCACTCTTCATATCACGCATTCAAATGAGCACTTCCTGAGTGGCATTACAAGACATGTTTCTTCTCTGCTTCATTCGCATCTATCTCCATCATATGTCTCGAGGTACCCGAAGTACGGTACGGAGTACAGGCTGCCTGGTGTCGGCTGGAGTCTGCAGCGCGGGCGGACCCGAAGATTCCTCAAGGCAGATACAGAGGTACATCAGAAGACGTGCTTCAAAGTACCTTGCTCACCTCGCAGCGCACCTGTGTGGAGGTATGGGTGGTATGCAGGTAACGGGGCTTGTCATAATTAGATGTGGCGGTGCATGCACAATTCTGCAACTGGCCACGAGCCACACCACACTCATCAACGGGTGGCTCCCAAGCTCCCAGCGCTGGCGCTTGCGCAACGGCCACAGTCCAGGCCCAGGGATGGAATGCGCTCCCGAAGGGATGGGTGGAGGACAGGTTGAAGTTGCTTTCCGTGGGAAATGTACCTGGGTAGGTACCGGACACCCTGGGCCCGTCACTCCCGCAGAACCAGTCCAGTGACTGCAGCGCTGCACCAATGAATCTCGACTTGGACCTGGACGCCCCGGACGAGAAACTCGGCCACGACGCTCGTTTGCCTCAATTGACAACTATCCAGCTCGGCTTTTTAGATCCCTCAGTACTTTATCGCCCTCTCGACAACGTCAGAATCCGGATACCATAATCGACTTCATCTTTCCAACTATACCCAACGCTCGCGCGCATTGTACCACATTAGCCGTTCTTTGCCAGCCGCAGCCACTGCCGCGCTCCCCAACGTGTCCGTCCGTCAATTTGACACAGCTCATTTCCCATCCCTGACTATCCACCTCAATCGCCAAACCCAGCTCGACGACAACTTTCCCGCACTCAAAGAACCCCTCGACGATCCCGAAAGCGCTGGCCGCCACGCCCCAGAAAGTCGCAGTCTAGATCCCCAAGTCGACCCATCTCACACGCTATTCCACGATGGCGGTCGCATCGATACAGGACCGAACCGCCGAGTTCAAATCGGTCCTCGCTCAAGCGCAACGTCGACAGGCTTCCAGCAAGGTCGGCGCTCAACGACGATCGCTCCTCACCGACTCCCAGAAAGCCGCCAGCGATGGCGACTCGCGACCCCGGCGCTCCGATTTTGCGCGCCAGGCGGCGCAAATCGGGAGAGGAATCTCGGGCACAATGGCAAAGTTGGAGAAGCTGGCAACATGTATGCTTTCGGATCCCTAGGGATGTTCCGCAATAATCACGGCCTGGCGCTGACAAGAACTCTTTCCCACAGTGGCGCGGCGCAGAACCCTGTTTGACGACCGGCCAGTCGAGATCAACGAGCTCACATACATCATCAAGCAAGATTTGAGCGCCCTCAACCAGCAGATTGGAGGCTTGCAGGTCCTAACGAAACAGCAACATCCAAAGGCCGATCAAGAGGGAGAACACAACAAGAATGTCGTTTTCATGCTGCAAGGCAAGCTGACGGATGTGTCGGCCAACTTCAAGGATGTCCTAGAGGAGAGAACCAAGAATATCCAGGCCTCAAGATCCAGGACAGATAATGTGCGCTCTAGTCCTGGTCTCCGTAAAGGCGGACGTATGCTAATATGGATATTTGTCTACAGTTCATTTCGAGCGTTTCCCAGCACACGCAACCACCTCTCCAACAATCAGCATCGCCGCTGTACGGAACACCCCAACGGGGGACGCCGTCCCCAGGCGCAGATCTGCTGTCGCTGAATCCGCCAGGAGATCAGCAGCTTCTTATGATGGAAGAGGCGCAACCGCAAAACACATATATTCAGGAGAGAGGTGCTGCTATTGAGAGCATCGAATCCACTATTGCGGAGCTTGGATCTGTGAGTTTTTGTGTTTTGACACGATTCTGGTATAGCATGGGCTGACGGGAGGATACACAGATCTTTGGTCAGCTAGCGACGATGGTTTCGGAGCAGAGCGAGATGATCCAGCGCATCGACGCAAACACGGAAGACGTTGTCGACAACGTGCAAGGAGCGCAAAGAGGTGAGTTCCGCAGGCTCCGTGCTATAGTGACACAGGCGTCCGAACGGTTATCTGACTCTTTTGTCCGCAGAACTTCTCAAGTACTGGGGCCGTGTTTCCAGCAACAGATGGCTCATTGCCGTATGTCGTGCCCCTCCTCGTCGCCGCTTATGGACACTTCAGTGCGACGCATCGTGTTTACGTTTACTGACAGAAATGGGTAGAAAATGTTTGGTGTACTCATGATTTTCTTCCTGTACGTTCTACATCAGCTTCGCCTCAAGATTGCGGAATTCGTAACTGACTTACCTTACAGACTTTGGGTCCTCATTGCCGGTTAGCAATGTACGACAATCCCGAGGGCGACGAACGGCAGTTCGTAGGGTTGGGGCGGAACTCAAAGTGTTCATTCAGCGGGAGATGGATGGCGTTGAGTTGTGTAATATCAGTACCCTTCAGTTGTACCATGACATTGACGCTGGGACGGGGATGGACGCGGACGGGGGAACGCGGACGCAGCGTAGCTATAGAGCTTTCTTCCTTGCATACATCTAGATCTATTAATCACAAAAGAGGTTAACTTCGGCGAAGCATAGGCGGGCAGAGCTGGGTCCTCAAGTACCTTGGCTCGCTCCAGGCTCTTGAATCGGCGTGTGGATGAACGTGGGGGTGGAGGAGCAGAGCGAGAAGAAAGTACAGGATACCTACGAATCGGTATGATTGGGAATATGCCGACTAACGTCAGAGACCCCGGCGTGAAGTGCCTCAGACTCTAAGTGAGGTGAGGTAATGGGGGGGGGGGGGACGGGGTCAGAGTAATGCAGCCAAGCGCCCGGACCTCGGGCTTGGTTCCGGGAACTTTGCCCGCACTTTGAACCGTCCCAGCCTCCCCCGCCGGAAACCGGCCGCCTTCCATGAGACCAAGGGCAAAAAAAAAAAAAAAAAAAACTCCCCACGCTTTTGTCACTAACACGCTCCAAGCAAACCAAACTTGGCACTTTTCATGACTCGGCCCAACAAAACCCGAGAGCTGGTCCGACGACCCAGAGAATTAATCCATAAATGGTAACACAAGGCCCACCAATGGGAGAAGGGGTTCGTAGAATCTGCTGTAGTTGGAACTGTTGTACACTAGGTATTACCTACCTCGTACAGTTTACGGGGTTTCTAGCAGTGACTTGACAAACTGGGGAAATCCACACGAAAGAGGGACAGCCCAGGCAGCTCTTGCCCTTCCCCGCCGGCGAGCTTTACTTCACTTTGAGGGAGCGGAGGACCAAAGGAGGAGCGTCACAGATGATGGGCAAATCGAGATCCTCCTATACTAGCTCAGGTAGTTGGCCATGTAATAATGTATCTTTTCTGGCTAGAGGTGAAGAGGAGGTGGTGGAGGAGTAGACACATGTTTGAGCATTTACCCGGCCATTTTGATCGCGACACATCACCCTGATAGGTAGTCACTCCTTGGCTTTCATTGCTCTCTTCGTCGATATATATACCGAGATCACACACCCACCTCCTCCCGTCCCTTCCTTATCCCGAGTGACGTTTCCCCTTCCCATTGAAATTTTTCTTCATTCTCTCTTACTCTCGAGTCAAGAGTTGTATGCTTGTTCTATTCTCCAGAGCATTCTCCCACATCAAATTACCCCGCCCCCGCATTCCCATCAAGGAGTTGTCGCAACATCGCCAACCCCTCCTCACTAGACATCACATCCACTCTACAGCAGTCAAAATGGCTTCCCAGACTTTCAAGTTGAACTCGGGATATGAGATCCCTGCCGTCGCCCTCGGTATGTACATTCTCCCTCACTCACACTGCTACTCGTCCCTGGCAGGAGAATCACCAGAGGCCACTACTGACGTCCTGTCCAACAACAAGGCACCTGGCAATCCGCTCCCGGCGAGGTCACAAAGGCCGTCTCCTACTCCCTCTCCGTCGGCTACAAGGCCATTGACGGCGCCTACTGCTACGCCAACGAAGATGAGGTCGGTGCCGGCCTCAAGGAGGCTTTCGCCAACGGCGTCAAGCGCGAGGACATCTTTGTCGTCACCAAGCTGTGGGCCACCTACACCATTGGCGACGACAAGGTCAAGGAGGGCCTGGAGAAGAGCTTGAAGAGCCTGGGTCTCGACTACGTCGACCTCTTCCTCGTCGTATGTCTTCTCTTTCTCACTGCCTCCCCACATGGTTCCAGACACTAGGGCTAACAATAAACAGCACTGGCCCGTCGCAATGAACCCCAACGGCAACCACGACAGGTTCCCCACCAAGCCCGACGGCTCCCGCGACATCATCCACAGCCACTCCCACGTCGAGACCTGGAAGTCGGTCGAGAAGCTCCTCGACACGGGCAAGGTCCGCTCCATCGGCGTCTGCAACTACAGCGTAAAGTACCTCGACGAGCTCCTCCCGCAAGCCAAGGTCGTACCCGCCGTCAACCAGATCGAAAACCACCCGAGCCTGCCCCAACAGGAAATCGTCGACTACTGCAAGGAGAAGGGCATCCACATCATGGCCTACAGCCCTCTCGGCTCCACGGGCGGCCCCTTGCTGACCGCGGCGCCCGTCGTCAAGATCGCCGAGAAGCGCGGCGTCAGCGCGGGTACAGTATTGCTGAGCTACCACGTCGCGCGCGGCAGCACGGTGATTGCCAAGTCTGTGACGGAGAGCCGGATCAAGTCCAACTTGGAGATTGTCAAGCTCGATGACGAGGATATGAAGGAGCTGCGGGCGTACTCTGATGATTTGACGGCCAAGAAGGAGCTGAAGCGTTATGTGTACCCGCCGTTTGGCATCGACTTTGGATTCCCGGATAAGTCGTAGAATCTTTTGTCCTTTTTGCCAAATAAATAGAGCGAAGAAATAGAAATGATTTAAAGCGTATTCGTGTCTACAGCAACTGTGCCATTGAGTGTGGTAGTAAAAAACTTGTCCGAATGACCCTGTGTTCTACTAAGCACATGTTTGCGTTGGGTATTAGTGCTTGTCACTGCCCCAAGATATTCTCTCCGTCCTGACTGCCTCAGGGGAACAACACAACACTTCGCATTGCACGCAACCACCAGTCACTCAAACACCAGTCACTCAAACACGACTTTCCCAAATTATACAACTCAAAATCATCACTTTTCATTTATTTATTTACATTCGCTAATACTCTCTAATTCGACGTATCCACCAAAACCTTGAGCACCAGATTCCCGCTCTCGTCCTTGACCTTGGCCGCCATGTCAAACGCGTCCTTGATGGTGCTCAGCCCCTTGTAGCGGTGCGTAAACAGCTTCTCGAGCGCGGGCAGGCCCTTTGGTTTCGTGGCGATGAGGTCGATGGCCTTGGGGTACGTGTTGGCGTACCGGAACACGCCGACGAAGTCGACCTCGCGCAGCGCCGCCGCCGAGATGGGCAGCGTCTGGATCGGAGTGCCCATGCCGATGATGAGGATCTTACCGCCCGGGCGTGTGGACTGAAAGGAATTCCAGTCGTTAGTATAATTCAATATGGGTGGGCATCTTTCGGAACAGAGGGAAACTCACAAAGATGGCAGTCTGCATGCACGTCTCGACGCCGGTACACTCATACGTCGCATTCACCTCGCCCACCGCCGCCCCGCCGATCTCGGCCTTCTTGACCAGCTCCGCGACGCTCTGCGCGTACGCGAGCTTGTCCTCGATAGTCTGCGGACGCTGCGCGGGGACGACGACGCCGGCGTCGGCGAAGCCGTTGTCGAGCGCAAACTGCACACGGTCCGCCTGGATGTCGGCGATGATGACGCGCTGCTGGTCGGCCTTGCTGACAGCGGCGCAGAGCAGGCCCACGGCGCCAGCGCCGAAGACGAGGACGGTCGAGTTGCTGGGGAGGTTGCCGCGGTCGCGGGCGTGCATTGCGACGGAGAGGGGCTCGGCGAGGGCGCCGAATTCGAGGGAGACTGCTGAGGGGAGCCTGTGGATTCCGAGGTCAGTACTGCGCATTGTGTATAGAGAGTGAGGTTTGCGCCGGAGGTCTCTTACTTATGACACCACTTGGCCGGGTGGTTCACCAGCTCCTGGAGGGTGCCCTGGGCATGCGGGAACGCCTTTGCGGAGCTGCGGAACTTCATGCCCTTGCAGATGTTGTAGCGGCCCGCGGCGCAGAGCTCGCAGGCCTCGCAGGGCTGGCCGACCTCGAGGGCGACGTGGTCGCCGACGGCGAGGCTGGAGACGTCCGAGGCGACAGCGGTGACGACGCCGCTGGACTCGTGGCCGAGGGTTAAGGGTTCCCGCACGAGGATGTCGCCGTTGCGGAAGTGGTTGTAGTAGTGCAGGTCGGAGCCGCAGAGGCCGGTGGCCTTTACGGCGACTTGGACTTCGCCTGGCGTGAGGGCGGGGAGTTGTCTTTCTTCCTGTTCGCTCATCCGTCAGATCTTTTCTTAACATGGTTGCGTTTGTCTGGGGATTCTCGGAGCTTCTGAGGAACGGTGTTGGACTTACGATCTTGAGGTCCCTCGCGCCATGGAGGACGGAGGTCTGAACTTGGACACTTGACATGGCGGGCTAGGTATGTACTCTTACTGCTGGGGGAGATGTAGAGGTGATCCAGAGAGGGGAGAAGAGAGCTACGACGATATTGTGAAAGGGAGGGGGTATGTAAGTGCGAAAGTGGTTCCAAGTGTTTGGAAGCTGTTGAGAAAGTGGGCAGGCCAGCCAGTTATGAGTATGCTTTTACTTTTTGGTCAAGAGCAGAGCAGAGCAGGTAAAGGCAAGGTACGTATGGTTAAACACAAGTCCGATATCGACGGATCGGAAAACGCGACTTAAGTCAAGCTACTAGGGGCGGACGCGAATCGGCGGAGGCGTGTGATGCAAAACGGAAATGCGGGTTACGAGAAGAGACTTGGTCGGTGGGGGGAAGGCACCGAGCTACCTATACTATCAAGCAAAACCGACGAAGCTGCTAGTTATGATCTATAGCCGAGTAAAGAACCCGGCTCGAGTACAAGTACGCCGAACTGTCCATCTCAACGGACTCGGCCACTCCCAATATTACCTAGCCAGCCTCCAAAAGCTACTGGAACCTTGGAGACTCGTGCGCGAGCTTTCAAAGATGTTCGCCGGTGCTGGCCAGTGTATCGAGTACTATGTACGAGATGATGACACTTGCGACATGTTGGACAGTGCTGAAAAGAGGGGTGGAGGACTAACACGAATGGATAGACTTGACTGAGAAGGCATTGTTGGACACGGTTCGTGTGGAGTTGTGGAGATTTAGAGCGAAAGGCAACCGGTCAACATGACTAACTTACAAAAGTACGAATACATGGTCAAGTTTGAGCTTTGCCGGAAAGAATGCCGCGTCCGCCTCAAAAGACGAGGCGCATCGTGGATTGGTTCAATGGTGGATGTTGCGGGATGAAATCTTGATGGATCATGGAACGAGTGGAGGGGGGCGGGTGGAAAGAGGGGGAGGGGCAATCCCAATTGCCAATTGCCAAGTCAGCTTCTCAGTTTCTTCCTATGATACCCGCGGGTTATGGACCCCTTACCCTTCCTTACCTTAGCTTACTCAACTCACACAAGTGAAAGTGACCCCCATCCAATATGGGCAATACACGCCGAAAAGTCAGAGGGGCTCCTGTCGCGGGGTTGGAGAAATCGGCCGCGGAGGCCAAACACGGCAATTCTGTCCTAAGGCGAGCGATACGTATATTTCTCCTTCTCTACATACATAGCACGGCGTACCACCAGTTTGATACCCCAGAAAAAGCTAAGAAAAGAGAAAGATACAACTAGGCAATCCCGTCGAAGAAGGTTGGCAAGACAGCCCGAGAGCAATCGAAAATTGACAATTACAGCGTCGGTGATTCGCAGAAGACTCGGGTTCTCCTATTCTCATGCCTTCAGTTTGTGCTGGAGACCTTTCCTCTTCGTCTCTTTTTCGTGTTCTTCTCCTCTTCCCCACCCATCGTGACTTTTTTTTCCAAGTCTTCTCCGACGTGCGGGGAGAAGGCCAGCGACTCATCCCACTTTACCGTCACCTAGCGTTTCTTACGTGGGGGTACCGGCCCGAGTCTGCTGCTGGAAGGTATTCATTACCTACGCTTTCGCCCTCAAGTCATTTTCGACGCTTCAATGCTAATCACTCCTGGTCAATTTCATGTTACAGCAGAGATGATATGCAACACTCGAGATTTTCAATTCTTCCGTGGCATCGCAATGTGCAAAAGGCTGATTAAAGAACAAACAAACCTGCGATTCCATGGCCCAGTCACGAAAAACGACGTCAGAGGGTCGCGGTTGGAGATGCCCCTGAACCCTTGCAATGGAGGGGTAAAAAAAGAAGAAAAAAGTATCGAGTACATCAGGTACCAACCAAGGTACAACAGAGACGACGGGAAATGCCCCGCACCTCTCTCCAGCTTGAATCGTGAGACTCCCACGCCGCGACTTGCCCCGCGTCAATGGCTTCTTTTACTACGGTGTCAGGAGTACATCATTTTTTATTTTTCGTCCCTTTTTGCATGTCCCGTGAGCAAGTGTTTCTAAATCAGGTTTAAGAGGGAATCATGCTGTCGGAAGTCAATGGTCTGTAGGAAACGCTGCGGGCGGGCTTCGTACCGGGGATCATTCGGTGACTGAAGGTTAGCTTAGCTTGCCTCTTTTCCCAAAGCTTGTCCGTTTCGCCGGGGAAAGGAGTACCTTTACAAGCTTGATGATCTTTTATCCGTTACTTCATAAAGTACTGAATGGCGACTTGACATTTGCTCCGACCTCGCCCAATCAAAGTCCACTCACCTCAAACAGCTTCCCGCTGCTCACCATTCATATAGGTGACCCATCCAGACGCATCCTCCCAAGATTTCCATTTTCCCATAGCTCCCCCTTACTCTCGTGATACCCTCCCCCCGACACATAACCTTACACGCACTCTCTCACTCTCTCTCCCTGTCTATTTATCTTCTACCCTCCCATTGATTTTCCCAAAATGGCCTCCTCCTTCTTCTCCCTCGAAGGCCAAACAGCCCTCGTAACAGGCGGCACCCGCGGCATCGGCGCCGCCGTAGCCGTGGGCCTCGCCGAGGCCGGCGCGGACGTTCTCCTCGTCCAGCGCGACGAGTCCTCCCAGTCCACAAAGCAAGCCATCGAGAAGCTCGGCCGCAAGGCGACAATCTACACGGCCGACCTGAGCTCGCAGGAGAGCGTCGCCGCGCTGGTGCCCAAGGTGCTCAAGGACGGCCACGAGATTCGTATCCTCGTCAACTGCGCGGGTATCCAAAAGAGGCATCCATGTGAAAAGTTCCCCGATGAGGACTTTAATGCCGTGAGTGTTCTTCCTGTTCCCAAGTACGTACGGACCTAGGAGAAGGCGACGAACTAACAGACATAAAATAAAATAAAACAGGTCATGCAAGTCAACCTCAACTCCGTCTTCACAATCACCCGCGACGTCGGAGCCCACATGCTCACCCTCGCCCCGCACCCGACCACAGGCCGCAAAGGCTCCGTCATCAACTACGCCTCCCTCCTCACCTTCCAGGGCGGCTTCACCGTGCCCGCCTACGCCGCCTCAAAGGGCGCCGTCGGTCAGCTGACAAAATCATTCGCCAACGAGTGGACCGCGAAAGGTATCACTGTGAACGCCATCGCCCCGGGGTACATTGAGACGGAGATGAACACGGCGCTGTTGAACGATAAGGAGCGCCTGGCGAGCATCAGTGCGAGAATCCCCGCGGGCAGGTGGGGCACGCCTGAGGACTTCAAGGGCACGTCGGTATACCTTGCGAGTCGGGCGAGTGGGTATGTGAGTGGGCATGTTTTGGTTGTTGATGGTGGCTGGATGGGTCGGTAGAGAGGAGGTTCTGGGAGACGAAAGGATCCGGGAGAGAAATGCTTCTCCGGCAGAAAATTAGACGAATATAATGAGAAAGAACGACGATTTAAAGCTGCGTTGCGAGGCTATATTTACGAAACGAGTACAACAAATCTCATGAGCCATACTACATTACTATAGCTTACACGAATACTTCATTACAACTACTAGGCCTAGATCTTGCTAGACATAACGCTCTCCATCCAAGGGTACACCGAGCCGTTGGCCATGGGATATCCCATATGCAATGCCCCCGAGAAGAACCTAGCCTCCTTTGGCGTGCCATACTCGAACAGCATCATTGAGTCCTCTATAGGCATCAATCCGTCCAGCGTACCCTACATCGGCGTGTCAGTCATTTTTCCTACGCGGTATATACAGAGTTGTTGGACTTACGTTGATGAGCAGCAGACGCGTCGAGGGCTTCTCAATGATACCAGTCTCCAGCAGAGAAAACTTCTTCTGCACACCCGCCTTGTACTCCTCCACGGACTTGTAACCATGCTTCATGGCCATGGCGGGCGTCAAACTGCAAGTTGCGTTAGCGACATAGCCTCCAAGTGGCACTGGACAGACTTCACTCACAGGAACGGGTACTCGTGGCCGTCAGCCTTCTCCAGCCACTCGGGGTCAAAGAAGTAATGGCACCCGGCACCCTGCGCAATCGACCCGATCAAGCGTTCGCGGTGGGTATGCGCGATACGAATGGCATAGTACCCTCCCGAGCTGAGACCCCAAACCATGACCCGGCTGGTGTCGAACCGGCCGTCCGCGGCAATCCAGTCGAGTACGCTACTCCACAACCGGTCGGGGCTCTCGGGGTCGGCCGAATCGGCAGGGCAGTCGGCCGTGCCGGGGATTTCGACAATGACGCTTCCCCACCCGCGGGCGAGGAACTCGTCGGAGCGAACGGTATTGTCGGGGCGGTACCCGTCGAGACCCGTCATCAGAATGACGACGGGGCTGGGCTTGCTCTGCGACGCGCCCGGGGGCACTCTCACGTACGCCGGAATGGATTTCCAGTCCCCACCCGTGGCGTGGGCATGCGGGATGTCGATCTCGTCAATGGGGCAATCCCAGGATTGCGCCGCCTTCATGTACGCGCGCTTCTGGGCCTCCCACGCCTTCCACTTGACCTGACAACTAATCTCGGGGTACGCCGTGATGTAGGGGAACCGGGCGATGCGGTAGACTGTGCAGGCTCTGAGGTATAGGTCGCTTGCTTCCTTCTTGTTACCGGCCATGATTGCTTCGTCGCCCTTGGAGGTCAGCGACTCGGCGATGGGGAAGAAGGCTTCCGTGTAAGCTGTGGAGTTTCCGTCATTGATGTTGTTCTTGCGTGTTGTTAGTCGCTTTTCTCAACACCTCATCTCTCCAAAAGCAGCTAACCTTGATTAAGTGTTCGAAAATGGGCTCAAAGTCCTCATACTGCCCATCGTGGAAAGGATACACACTCTTGGTGCACTGTGTTGGGCCAGTTAGTATGCTACCCCGTCAAAGATTCTGATTTTCTCGCGTACCGGGAACTTCCACTTGGTCTCCCAGAGAGCCTTAATACCCTGGTGATGAGGCATAGTCCTCTCAAAGGCCTCAGTGCCCATCACCCACTGCCGCTTGCTATCTTCTTGCTCCGGAAGCTTGTGCGGCGACATGATGTAAGTTTTTATCTTTATTTATTTTTAGGAAACGACCCGAACGGTTCTCTGCTTCGTGAACAACGGCAATCGACCCTTCGCGACGTGTACCGGCTTTACTTTGCTGCTGCTTCTGCGGCGAACAACTTCTCGGCTGGACGTTTTGCTCAAGACTCTGGTTGCGGGATTAGTATATGTCAACCCAACAGGTTAAGTCATTGCAATAGAAACAAGATGCGCATTCACACAGTCTCAAACGCAGTGTGATTAGAGCAGAAAGACATTGCAGTGATGACTTACTCTGACTGAAGTGAAGCGATCCGCACGCGAACAATGGCAGAATGCAGGTCCTCGATCATGGTGGAAGACAGAGTGCAACGGTGCAGAAGCTAATTTATATATAACATGAAAGTACCCTGGATCTGCAGACGCCAGATGGATCCAATGACGACGCGCGCTCGGAGTTCTAAGGGGTGGACTTGCAGACTTATGATATAGTTCCGTGGTGCTTTTGCTTCGGACTCTGGTAGTGGTAGTTGGGGATATCCGTTGTCCGATCGTGAGACGCTTGCGACTGCACGCCAGAGGGGGGAAAAGGGGGACATGGTGGCCGACCGTCTTATACGACAGCGCCATGGTCAGCTCCCGTCAGCCATTTGCGACGAAAGAGGCGCTTTGGCCACGCATGTGAAGGATCTGTGAGGCGTACGAAGCACCCAAAGTGAAAGCCCTGACTCTGACGTTTTGCCCGAGCTGCCTCACTTTGCGGTGCGCCTGGTTGTTTGGAGGGGGAAGCTCCGATGAAGTGCGGAAGAAGCGAAGCGGGCCTCCGTGTGTGTGGTCTCGCCGCAACGATGACGGAGATGGCCGGAGGTTGTACGGCTTGGCCACAACCTGGATCCGGTCTCACTCGCTCTACTCAATTGCCATAATCCTTTGTCACCTCCCGCGCCACTGCAGACTAAACAATGCATCCATCGCAGGAGCAGCGAGAGAAGGATACCTAAACTGTCACACACTGCTTGAAATGGAGAATGCGAGTGACCAGACGCCAGAGAAACCAACCCGATTTCAGTCAAAGCATGTGAAACGCGGGGGGTAGCTTCTCGACGATCCGCGATTCAATGGCGGACGATCCGACCGGCCTGCCACGGGCAAGACAGCTAGACCCTTCCCCATGCCGTAAGCTTCTGGCGCCGCAGACAGGCTCCCCCTTGGTGGCGCTTTGAAAAGGGCCAAAGTATGTCACGGGTGCCAGCCACTCGGATGCGCACGCAGGTGAGCAGTGATCTGAAGGTGGTCATTGTAGACGCAGTGGTGCAGTGCGACCCTGGCTGCGGCCGGACGAGAACTCGTTGGCCTGGCGACAGAACAAAAAGGAGATGGACACAAGCCACCAGTAGCAACTGCGACGTGTGCGAGCAGTGAGCTAAGAGCTGTCTAGATTCGAGACAAGTATCGGGACTGGCTGATGTGCCGGGACACGTCAAGTTTCGAGGTTGGTCAAACAATACTAGACGGATCTGAAATGGGTCGCAAGAACTCAAGGAAAAAGGATGCAGGTGGTTGACGGGTTTCTATTCTTCATTACGTCGTTCTTCTTGTCTCTTCGGAAACGAGCTTGGCGCTCGTCTGATCTAGCATCTGGTGTCTCTAGCACCTAGAGCTTCAGTCCTAGTACTCGAGATCAGCAGCTCACTGATGCAATTCGAGCCTGCAATACAAAAACGAACGGAGTCGAGCCCGGACCCGGACAGATGAGGCGGTCTGATATGGGACGGAACGACAGCTATGGGAGAGTCGTGAGGCGGGAAAAACAAAAGGCTACTGGGCCTTACTCTTGTCTCCCTCGTAGTAGTGGGCCATCTCGAGGCCGGCTCTCCTGAAGCCACACTTGACGTAGAAGCCCTCGTTGGCCTCGCTGCAGTCAAGGATGCTCTTGTAGCAACCAACCTTGGCTGCGATAAAGTCCAGAGCCTGGATGATGCGCAAGCCGAGCTTCTTGCCCTGCTGATCCTTTGCAACGGCAATGTCTTCGATGTGGCCGACGAGACCAAGGTTATGGATGCTGTACGGAGGAAGAGCAAAGGTCAGTAGAACTCTTTTAGGGCCTATGTAATTACGAGCGGCTCAAACTGACAACTTGCGCTCGACGATCAAGGCGCCGGTTCCGACAACAGTCTTGGTGTTTGTGTCCTCAATGACGAGAATGTAGTATCCGTCACTCTTGGACAGCCATTGGTAGCGTTCCGCGAATTGGGCCTCGCCAATCTCACCAACAGTGGTCAAGACACGCAGGCAGTCGAGGAAACCAGTGTTGTAATCGGATTGACGAAGGGCACGCACGATGTAGCCCTCGGGGAGAGCAGCGGCGACGGTGGGGGAGACGAGGTCGTCGGTGAAGAGTCCGGCTTCGGCCATTGCGACTGCGATTACGATACGATTGCGACTACGGTATAGGAGTTGTTCGTTCGGGATAGATCTATTGGAGCTTCTTGGCCGACGAAGGGTCGACAAAGATTGGATCGACTGGCTGGGGAAGGGTCGGGTTGAGCTGTCGCTAAGGTACGCTACGATGGAACGAAAGACAGAAGTGCCTTAGTCGATTGGCTGGCGAAGCTTTCGTTGGGGGAAAGCTACAGAGGATGCGATGCGGTGAGGTTTCAAAACGGAGAGCGAAGCGGTGAAGATGTCGGAGGGAGGGTGCGATGGAGAAAAGAGAGACAGCGTCAGCAGCAGAGAGAAAGAGAGAAAATGAGGAAGCACTGCCGTAGGTAAGGTAGGTTATTGATGTAGGCGCGATGTTTGCAGAGTTGCCCTTCCTTATCCGTCGGTCGGAGTGGGCAACCTGCGGCAAGTAAACACCCTACTGCGCAAGGTACGAACGAATGCCTGCGTCAACCAGAACAGGGTGTCAGGGCCCAGGGTGCCAGGGCAGCGAGGTAGCAGCAGCAAGCCAGGCATCGCAGATCTGCATCCACGTCGTTTACACTACATCGTACCCCTCAGGGGGATCCCACCTCACTTCATAGGAACTGTGTAAGGTAGATATGCGATGGTTCTCACTCCCAGCCAGTTCCCGTCAGCAACACGGCCTCGCATCCACACTTTTCAAGATTACCTAAACAATCAAAGATGGAGTTTTGAGATTGGGAATAGACCCATTAATTGTTCGATTGAACACTCATATTCAAGGTGTCACGTTCAGGTCCCAAGAACGAGTCGAAGCGTGGACCTTGGAGCTGTTGCTCCGCCTCTGCATTCCATCAAAATGTGCCATCTCATTGGTTGCGGGAAAAGAACTGTGTCCCTAATAAAGGTAAGCTGACGTGCGGTTCCCAGGCCCGTATCCGCCTGCACGGGACGATCTCGAGGCTTTTCTGCGTGTAGCTATTCATAGTATACGGGAAGCCACTTTGAGAGAGAGGGTGGAAAACATTATTACCTGCCTATCCGTACAGGCTATGGCTCAGGTCCAACCCGAGACTATGAAGAGGAGAAGAAGCCGGTGTTGAAAGCACAGTTGTCCGTACACATAGGCAAGCTACAAGGCCATGACATTTCCACTCGTCCGAATGCCTACATGACCTTACATCGTCCCGCCTTTGGGCCTGTCGATCGCCGAGGCAGTTTGGTACTTGGCGCATGTCCGTCCCAACCATCAGGGCCAGCCGCCGACCGAGGTACGGGCTAGAAGCTGCAGTCTGCGGCTCTGCATAGGTATTCCATGGATATCTTAAGGTAGCGTGATAGCGTCTATGATGCAAGTAAGGCAGCAGGGCAATGTAGGTACTGCGTACGCAGTTGTAGCAATGGTTCAAAAAGCCACTGAGAAGCCGTAAACTCAATCGTGCCGCACGGATATAGGAAATACTAAAGAGTCAAGCCACGCCGAGATGCACATCTACAATAGTGTAGCTATGTTTGTAATTGCGGACAAAGACGAAAAGGGGGAGAAGACCGTTCCTACCCTACTGGTGATGATTGGAAGGATGCGCCTCAACCGCTTGAACCGCCTCCCACGACGATGGAGGCAACACTGACCCTGTTTGCCTCTCCCATACTCCGTACTTGAAGGTGTACAAGTCAAAGTACATGTCTTTGAGAATTCCAACTGAGACCACGACATTCCAGAAGAGAGGAATGCTGAGATGACGGGGACAAGTACATGTGCAAACATGGCAATGTCCCTCCAAGTCCCCTTCCTACCTAACACTACATAGTAGGTACCTACCTACCTAGACACTCCATCCAATTGCCTAGTTCTTTGGACCACTCACGTCAGGTCAGAGTTGGATGACGGGCAACCTCGCAGCTACGAGCTTATCGGTTGGATGCCAAGCAAGAATCAGACGCTAGAAGTGAGACGTGCACCTGCTGATAACGAACCTCACATTGTGGTGGCAGCCATCAGCTACCTGTGCTACCTGACCTTGGACTGATACAAGAGTAAAGAAGTCATGAGTAAGGTATTCAACATAGCACCAACCACCCACTAATACAATGCGCACTGCTTCTGTATTGGAATGAGATTTCTTCTGGACATGTCGTAGAGTTGTGGAGGAGAAGAGATATCTTACTCTACGGTACCTCAAGGAACATCTTCTGGCTTACCTGAGCTTGTAGAGAAGCACTTGGATACGTACTTTTACACCAACTTACCTCTCTCGCCGTTATAGGTATTCCTTCCAACTGCAATGGAAAACACGACTAATCTTTTTCCAACCATCACAAGCCTCACGTACACATCCAGGCAGTATGAAGCACCCATCGCCATACTAATCCAGTGGGCGTGACCGATTCAAATCACCACCCACGCTACCATCTTAGCTATGCGATGTGTATCTAGCCCCTAACACTAGCCTCGACCTCTCATCGGCTCGGGCAAATCCCCCATCTTCATCCCCATCATCTCATCTCATCCCGTCTCATCCCATCCCACCCCAGACGCTACCAAGTAGCGTCATACCAGTCAGCCAGACAAGATGGCATGTTATTCCTCCGTACAGACAAGCACGTTTGCCTCCTCTACCTAGGTAGGTAGGTATTACTTACCCCGAGACTTGGAGGCACACACACACACACACACACACACACACACACACACACACACACACACACACACACACACACACACGTTCTGTACGAGTAGGTATGTCCACACACTCACAGACTACAGTACCCCGGGCTGGAGAAACACACCCACCCACAGAATCCAGGGCCTCGCCATGCCATCCCGTCCCATCCTACCTCACGCCGTCGCCGTCGCCGTCGCGCGCATGAACATCCCCCACAAATTATTGCCAGAATCACATGCTGCCCACGCTGCCCGTGGCTGCCACACTCACTTGCTACCCATCCGTACGGATACAACCCGCAGCCTATATACAAAGTACACTAGGTACTGCGTACTCCTGCAGATGCTCAACGTCCCACTTACTCCTATTGGAGCCCTGGCACAGCGGCTCAACACGTCAACCCGGTCACCCTTTGCCTGAGCTCACATTGGGCTAGAACACCCCAACTGATTTCATTCCACCGCGCGCACCCACGGCACCCTAAAAACCACCTTACGCGGTGCCACTCACTCACGTATTGTACACTACCTACTCCGTACCTTACCGTAATTACCAAACACACAAGCTCCCAGAAACGCGGGTCCTCACCTCTCTCTACACACACAGTACTGTTCCCTTCTCACGGCTTCGTTCCAGACCTTCGTCATCAGCACAACACAAGAAAACACTGCATCCCCACGCCCGTTACACTCGGGACGGGACCTTCGGTATAGATGTCGACAGGCTAGGCCGAGGTAGTACATTGAAGCTTGTCTTCTGTCAAGTCTACTGTATTCCGGTCGTTCCACAACCTACACGCCTCTCTGTACACCTGAACGCTGCTGCTCTGATCCTCCTACGGCTGAAGGTGCTTGAAAGTTGCCACCACTGGTAGCACGCCTATGTTCCCCCCTTTCTTCATCACCTCGTCTTGTCCTGCTCTCTTACCTTTGCTCCTATTAGTTGTGCTTCTTCCCTCTTTCGATTCTTCACACGGGTTTGTACCTTCTCTGCGTCCCTGAAGGCCTCATTCCCTGCGTTTGTTCCCCTTCTCTATCCCCCTGACTGTGCGCTCGACATCCCCTGTTGGAACCGAGCTCGGCCAAGGTCTCGAGTATATCATGGTTTCTGCACATCCCGCATCACTTCAAGTCTAACGTCCGGAACCTTATCCCAACTCCACGTTGTCTGTCAGTTGATGACCCGTGCCTCCTGCGCATGCGAGTGCCCACTTGCCGATCCTCACCGGTATCTGCCCCAACACACCCATTAGAGATTATGGATGCAGACGATGACTGGGACGGGGACGGGGATGAACACTCTCACGACCTCATCCACGTACCTCTCGACTCTCACCAAGGACGAACGGTGCTGCCGAGCCCTATAGCAAAGGCCGTCAGTCTTGCCACTCGCTCAACATGTTTAGCAATCCGTGTTGGCACCCTCATTAGCTCGTACGGCTTCGATGCGGCCAAGTTCACCACTCTATCCAGTCTGGAGCTCAGCAGGGGCATACTCGAAGGAATTCTCAGCAGATCTGGGAGAGATATGCTTGTACGCTCCAACAGCGACCTGGGCAGAGAAGATGCGGAAACCGTCCTCGAGAGGAGCTTGGAGCATTTGCATAGTGCCATGTCGCAAATCGTTTTCTGGACTACCACCGGCTTTCAGATGACGAGTACCACCATTTCCGTCGCTTCAGAGATATCTCAACTTCTTCTTTCGTCTCTCGATCAGTTCTTTGGCTCGACCGACTCTTCACGTGCCATTGCAAGCATCATCACTTTAATTCGCCGCGAGTTTCAGAATCCCGCGACTGGTGTGGAGGGTGAGCGTGTGGGTGTTGTAGATCTGGTCATGGGCTTGTGCGCGTTGGCCTACCTGCAGCGCAAATGTCGACGTTTCCTCGACGAAGAGACAAGACGACTCGGCCACGATGAGATCGTTTGGGATGTTGTTGTACTCAACGACGGGGAGCGGGTCGACATCCACGAAAATAGTCTGTACGGGGTGCACAAAGGCCGCTACAGGAGTAAGGGTCCCGATATTTTGGTTTCCGTCCCAGGAGACCAACCGAGTCCCGGTATACTAGCGACCATCGAACGACATGGTGAGCGAGAAACCAGCGAAGACGAAGATGACTACGACTTGCCAGAAATTCGCCTCAAGAATCAGATCTTGCGGTCTATGCCTGCAGATACAAGCGTCTCCATCTCAACAACGACCCTGACGAGGAAGATGATTACCGTGGACTTTACGGGACCTGAACCCCCAACTTTGACACCACCTCCAGGCGTCGAGGTCGTTGAGCGAGAGGTTTTGTCATCTTCAGAGGGACCAAGGGAGCAATTAGTGAGGCATCAAGACGTTCCAACCTACCGGGTCGTCTACAGAGTCGACAAGAGCAAACATCGAAACACGACAATCCAAGGCTTCGAGGAGGCAGAAGACAACTCTCGAAAAGTGGAATCACTTGACGACACCGAGGAGTCGGATGGATATGGTCGAAACGACGAAAAGGACGAACCGCCACCCGTACCACCCAAGAAGGCGCTGAACTCAGCCCCCGCCAGTAATCCGAGGTCAGATGTGACATCCAACCCGACCCCTCGCCGAGCAAAGGTTGGTCCGGGTTTCCCGTCGACTTCGCCCGGCAGCCGAGTCTCTCAGATCCCAACGCCCAAGCAGAGTCCAGAAAACGCACCAAACCAAAAGCGACAGCGCGCGCCCCTAGGCCCCTTGCCAGTGCGGGCACGTCAGGAGAATGCCGTCTCCTCGCACGCCGAAGCCGCCACGCCCAAGAGAACCAAAGGCGAGCCCTTGTCAAGCAGCAAACCATCGGAGAAGCCCACGACCGAGAAAAAAGGGGGCATCAGGCAAGCTTTGAAAAGGGGTACCAGCTCAAACATCTCCAATCTCTTCCATCGAGACGGAACCGGCACTGGCAGCTCGCAGCCCACAGGGAAACCCAAGCAGTCGGCCAAGACTTCTGCAAGAGATGGGACAACACGAACCTCTACCCAGCCCAGCCGTCCATCCCAGACCCGGGCCATGGGCCCGACTGCTGCCTCCAGCTCGAGAGGCCGGGCCTATGAAAACCCCTCACCCGTACCTCGCAGCTCTTCGCGAGCCAGTTACATCTCTGTACACGAGCGGCGTCGAGACTCGATTGTGTCACAGACGGACACCTACTCCTTCCACGCTGTAGACGGATATCGGCCCCAGTCTCCGGGATACACCCGCCGTGACGCCATGGGCCAACCTAGCATCCCCAAGTCGCGGTCAGAGAAGGACATGAACGATCAGAAGCCAGCATCGCCGATGAAGTCCAGGAGGGCGCGTTCCCACGTCAACACGCCGAGCCTCTACAGCATTGCCAATACTGGTTCCCAGACGTCACTGGTTCTGTCATCGTACTACCAGAAGAGCGCATACACCGACTCCGAAGCCATCGACACCTTGAGGCGAGCAGGTACAGTGGATGGTGTTTTCCCGGCATTTCACCTGCTCCGAAATATCACGCGATACATGCGATTCTCTTCTGCGTCATACGGGTCCAACTTTCTCAAGTTCATGGGCATCTCAAAGGACATGCCCCTGATCAAAGCGTTGGATGATACGCACCACGAGATACGCTCATTTGCGCACCACACGGAATCCGAATCCACAAGTATCCTCCTCGCCTCCTTCGTCGACGCCCAGGGCGGATCCGATACCACCGGCTCAACCGGTACCGGCGTCCCCTTGGTCCACTACATCTCCCTCGACCACGAATCCAAAGCCGTCGTGCTCGCGTGCCGCGGTACCCTCGGCTTCGAGGACGTCCTGGCCGACATGGCCTGCGACTACGACAACCTCTATTGGCGCGGCAAATCCTACAAGGTCCACAAGGGCATCCACGCCTCGGCCCGCCGTCTCCTCTACGGCGGCGACGGGCGCGTCCTCTACACTCTCAAGGAGGCCCTCGACGAGTTTAGCGACTACGGCCTCGTCCTGTGCGGCCACTCGCTCGGCGGCGGCGTCACGGCGCTGCTGGGTACCATGCTCGCCGAGCCATCGTCCTCGGGTACGGGGTTCGTCACGACCTCGGACCCACACCGCCGGCTTCTCGGCGATGGACGCCTCCTCGACGCAGACACCACACATGTCTGCCTCCCCTCGGGCCGCCCCATACACGTCTACGCCTACGGCCCTCCCGGAACGATGTCCCCCGCCCTCCGCAAAGCCACCCGCGGCCTCGTTACCAGCGTCGTCCACGGCTGCGACCTCGTCCCCTTCCTCTCCCTTGGCGTCCTGCACGACTTCCAGGCCGTCGCCCTCGCGTTCAAGAGCGACAACCACGAGGCGAAAGTCGAGGTCAAGCAGCGAATATGGCAGGCCTTCCAATCCGGCCTGGCAGAGAAGTGGTACACCAACAGCGGCTCCCGCTCCTCCTCCATGACCGCCGCCGACGAGGATAAGTGGAGCATCTCGGCGCTGACGACGCTGCGCTCCAGCATGATGAGCCTGAAGCTGTTGCCGCCGGGCGAGGTGTTTATCGTCGAGAGCCAGCGGGTGCTGAGGCGCGACGCTTTTCTTGTTTCTGACGAGGAGTCTATCGGCCGGCCTGCGCAGCGGATTGTGCTCAAGTATGTCAGGGACGTCGAGTCGCGCTTCAGGGAGGTGCGGTTCGGTACGAGCATGTTGATCGATCACAGCCCGGCCAAGTATGAAGAGGCTTTGAATAAACTGCGGTTCGGGGTTGTTGAAAGTTGAGTAGTATGAGGAGGATTTCCTTTTCTCGGGATAAGGAAGAAAACCACACAGGCATTACCCCCTTTTTATTTTCCTTTGTCGCGGACACATCGTTCGATTCACCACAATATACCCCCCACCCAAAGATCCCCGAGTGTGAGATAGTTATACGCTCTGTTCAACTGTTGAGTCATTGTTTTAACCTGATCGTGCAAAGAACATTTACGAAGTCTGGGATGGAAAGATCTGGAATATGGAGTCGAGGGAAAGAGTCTAGGTTGTGAAGAGATGAGTAGGATGTAGATGAAATCAACTCAGAATATCCTTTACCCCGAAGGTGTCTCTCAAAAGTTGTTATTATTACAAAGTGACGCAAGATTTGTTTACTTCTTCTTCTAACTGTTCTTCAGCTTAGACATTGCCCTCCTTCCTATGGCTTTTCCGTCACAATCTTGCCGTCCTTGTCATAAAAGATCTCCTTGACTTTGACAGACCGCAGGTGGTCCACGCCCTTGCTCAGCTCGCAGTCGTGGTGGAAGAGCCACCACTGGCCCTTGAACTCGACAATGGAGTGGTGCGTCGTCCACCCCAGCACCGGCTCGAGGATCCGTCCCCCGTACGTAAAGGGCCCCAGCGGGCTCTCGCTCGTGGCGTAGCAGAGGTAGTGCGTGTCGCCGGTCGAGTAGGAAAAGTAGTACAGCCCGTCCCTCTTGTGCAGCCACGCGGCCTCGAAGAAGCGGCGATCGTGGTCGTCGGCAAGGATGGGTTTCCCCGTCGCCGGGTCGAGGATCTGAATCTCCTGTACCTCGCCGTCGAACTGGTGCATGTCGCCCGTCAGCTTGGCCACGCGGGGGCCGAGCGCGTAGACGCCCTCGCCGCTGGGCTCCTGGGCGCCGAGCCACTGCTTCTCGAAGATGTCGTTGCCCTTTTGGTAGCACTGCAGCTGGCCGCCCCAGAGGCCGCCAAAGTAGAGGTAGCCCTGGCCGTCGTCGTCGACGAAGCTGGCCGGGTCGATGCTGTAGCTGCCCTTGATGGGTTCTGGGTCCGGGGTGAAGGGCCCCTCGGGCTTGTCCGAGACGGCGACGCCGATGCGGAAGACGTCCTGCTTGTCGCGGGCGGGGAAGTAGAGGTAGTATTTGCCGTCCTTGTATGCGGCGTCGGGAGCCCAGAGCTGCTTCGATACCCACGGTACGTCCTCGGTCTTCAGGACGACGCCGTGGTCGACGACAGGCTCGAGGGGGTCCAACGATGATGTGCTGAAGACGTGGTAGTCGGCCATGTCATATTGGTCCCCATTGTCATTGAACTTAATGTCGGTCTCGCGGTCGTGAGACGGGTAGATGTAGACTTTGCCATTGAAGACGTGGGCTGAAGGGTCGGCCGTGTAGAGATGGTTGATGAGAGGCGCCATTGTGAATATGGGATGGGGAAGAAAGTGGGAGTGCGGGGGAGAGAATGCGGGGGTTGATGGTGGTTGTTGGTAGTGGAATTGGGGTTCAAATGGGGAAATCAAGCATGCCACTTTGGGTGTCTTAAGGAATAAGGTAGGATAGGACGCTGTTGCAGATTGCCTACTTGCAACAAGACAAAGACGATTAAGGATATTCTGCAGAGACCGATGGGCGTGAAAAAAAGCCTTGGGAAGCAATCGTTTATATGCCAAATACCCGCCAGCGAGTATTCTCCACCATCAAAAGGGTTCAGGCGTCTGGATGAATGTGAAGGTGGTGATGTTGGCCCGGTAGAGTGGAACACGGGACGACTAGCCAGCGGCCTTTGAATTTACCCAGCGCATTTTCCCGGTTTACCCCATCCTGGGCACACCCCCGGCCCGCACCACAAATTGGAGGACTGAACCTGGACGCTGTTGACAGTTGCAATCCAATACATGTGTATGATGCTGCGGTGGCCCAACCGCAGACTTCTTGGGAGATGCAAGAGTTGCTTGTGCGATACTGTTCTTAGGTGAAGTCTTATTGACGGCGTAAGACACTACTCTTGAGCGTCGAACATGGTTTTTTGCATATTTTGATATCGATTGAGATAAATTATAGACGGTAAATCGATACCGAAGTAGGCAAAAAAAAAAAAAAAAAAAAGAATGTTCGACGCGCAATCTCGCCCCTTTCAGAACGAGACCCCGCGCTACCTGAGCTTTACCGCAGTAATCACAAGGCAGCATAGAACTCGAACCCCGTCGGTGGGTTATTGGTAGTATTTGTGACCCTATGACTACGATACGCCGTCGATTTTACCATTGAGCCAAAGTTGACTCGCTGAACTTGTGATTGGGAAGTGTTGCGGTCCGCTCGCCTATGGACCTTCCACCACGGCTTCAGCAAGGTTTGTGGAGGCCGATCGGGTTGCTTAGCATCGTGAGATGGAAAGGTATGGAGGCCCAAAGTGAGGATATGAAGGTGAGTCCTCTATGGGTCCAAGGCTGGACCATTGATGTTGTCCTCCCTCTCACGCTCAACTGCTGAGATAGGACTCAGCCGCACCTCAGCATTTATGTCAAGGCGCGGGGATATAGCCCAGGTCTCATGAGTGCAGTGGCAGTGGTGCGAGTGCTCAGAACCGCCAATGATGACTGTGCCTTGGCTCGCTATCTTCTGCTTTGGTCTTCTTATGGTCTCTCCTTAGATGCGCAGACAGTTGGCAGTGTTGGCCCGGATCAACCGGCCTCGCTGCAGCTGTTTCAAAAGTCCTGAATGCCGGTCTGTCCCCGTGCAGTTTGGACTCCCTCGCCTGCATCGCTGGCCCACTCGGGGTCCTCTTCATCGAACCAGGCTTCCTCGGCATCACGTCTCTCCATGACGTCGTAGTCTTCGTTGTCGTCGATCAGACTGTAATCAAAATCCTCGTCATGGCCGCGGACAAAACGTTCTGTGAGAAACTCATGCCATCTCTGAAGTCCTTCTTCCTTTGTCTTTGTCTTGGAAAGATCGGCTTCGGTTGTGAAATCTCTCGCGGGCTCCGCCGTTGAAGTGTCATCAGTTGATGACTTCAAGTCAGCAAGACGAGCCTCGCCCCTGAGTAGTGAGCTTTCTAGAACCCTCGAGTAGCCCTTGGCCTTGCCTTCGACCTCACGCTCAGCTGGTGTCTGAAACTTGCGAACCAATCTGTCATATAATAGGGGGTCTGGAAAGCATATTAGCTCCTGAGTTGGTAGTGAAGTAAACCCGAACCCGGCAATGTGCGGGTCACTAAGACTGCTCAAGGGAGAAAGGGCGGAAAGGTGCGCGGAGAGACGGACCAGCCAGCTCGTGTTCCGCATCGGCAAAGTACTTTGGGTTTCTCTCGAGATACTCTCGACGACGGTTGCGAGACCGAATGTTGTTGTCTACTGTTGGCGACCTGGGTGGACGTGGTGTCGGTTTCTCAAAGGGCAGACTTTGCGACTGATGCTCGGACTCTGTAAAGGAGGGCATCTTCAAGTCAGGCCAAGTGCTTCTGGAAGCAAGTAGAAGCGGTAGGCATATAATATCACAGATGCGAAATGAGGAAACCTGGCGTTAATTGAGTTCCGTAGATGAAGGCATCGAAGTGGATTAGATGAACTGTAGATGTTTGTGTCTGGTTACGGATATCTTCTACAATGAAAGATGTCACTGTTTAAAATGTGGGTCGTGACATAGGTAGGTACACAGATACCTACCTGAGCACCTGCCTAAGGTAAGGTAAGAAAGTTCCTCCTTGGTGCGAACGCGAGCCCAGAGGTACATACTTCAGCTTATATGACTGTAAGGTAGAACAACATGCACTCGCACGATCTGATAACTTGCAGAACCCCACGAAACTATGTACTGTATCCACGACTCGTAGAATACCTTGCCGAAGATTGACATTTTGCCTACCAGCTGGTTTATCCTTGGTTTAGGGCTAGGCGGGTGTACGATCTCGATGGAAGGGCACGGTACTCCGTACATCCTACACAGTAAGGCAGCCCCAGTCTGTGGCTGATAGACGAGGATATCCTCAGGCTCTCGTCCTTGCACAAGTAATTAATAGGGCGTTTTATGGAATTGTCCGCTCTTTTAGATACTCATATTCAATCCATACGTGTCCGTACTAATATATGGAGTACTTGATCAAGGTACTCAAGACGGGAGAGTCGGGCTGCTCAAAAGAGGCCAATTGGCTGGTTATTGGAGAAGTGGGGCGGTGGCACAACGACGTGGCCCGGCGCGGAGGACAATACGACCAATTAATAGGGGGGAAGGCGAGAAAAACGTTGGATGTCAACGGGAAATGAGATACAGAGGAGGGGAAAAGCAGGATTTGGGCCGGACATTGAAGCCGGTTAGGTGCCTTCCTACGGATGGTCTACGGATCCATGGACCATTCATGTGGGCTTGCACTTTGCAAGGCGTGGCAGCCGCATGGGTATCCCATCCCACGCGTCGTTTATTCTCTTTCTCTCTACGAATGAATAGTATTGGGCTATCAAGGCTTCTCTGGATGTTCTGTGTTGTCTGTGATTCTGTGTCTCTGTCTCTCGAGTCGCTCTCCACAAGTTACAACCCAGCGCCAGCCCACTGGCGCTTGACTGGACTTGATCTGGTGGTTCACATCCTTTCGCATTGACTTGGTGGACGGCAAAGCTAGGCATCTTGCACCCTTTCTACTTGGTTTCTGTTGCATCGTCTTTCTTTTTCCCGTTTAGTCTCTGCCTCTTGTCTCTGAGTAGGGTATCTCAAGTTTTCAACTCCATTACCCTCTCATTCCTCTTTGTCTTTCTTTCTGGCATCTTGCCCGGTCGTCTTTTTCGAATTTCCCAAGGCCCAACTCACTCACTCATTCATCACATCTTACTTCTTGTCTTGTCTTTCCTCTCAATTCCCCAGGTGCCCGTCAACCCCCCTTTAATGCTCTGTACTCAACACACTTACATTCCACTTTCGTCAACTCAACTCACCGTATCATACCGTATTTCACCGTGTCCCATCTACGTTGGAAGAATCGTCCTTTCCCCCCTCACCCTCTTCCTCTTCTTCGCTGCAGTCAGAGAGGCTACGAGGCACCTGATACCACTTATTCATCCACCTCTCATGCCACCCGTCCCATCCGTTCCTCTTCCTCTCGGCGTGTCTCAACCTCAGTCCATTTGATCTATCATCCAACGAGACGACCCGCCAGAACAAAAGTCCATCAGCACACGGCCGCTATCACATTCACGGCAACAGCGGCGACCACGCGACAAGACGCGCCAGACACGACACCACACCGAATTTCAACAACGTACCGTCGTACATCGTACCGTCCCGTTCAAAAAAGCTCGCCCCCATTCGCACGCTGAATGTGACCCTCCCGTCCCCATGGGTACCGCTGGAGATATCAGAGCCCGTCTCCGGGCAAAGTTCTCACGGAGGAATTCAGCTGCCCCATCTCTAGCCTCCAACAAAAGCACCGGCGATGCTCACAACTCTCAGGCAACTGATGGGACGAGTCTCACGCGGCAATCCTCGGCCGCTGCATCCGCTTCGGCTCCCAGATCCAGAGCAAGCTCTCAACACCCGCCTCACACGCCAATCTCGCCCTTGCCCTCGCGCTCGCCGACTCCACACCAGCCACACCTGCAGGCACAGCCACGATCCACCACACTACAACCCCCCGGCAGCAGCCATGGCGACCACTTGCTGCAGCCGAAATTGAAGGCAATTACGGCTGAGGGTGCCGCTGCTGGGGCTGGAGAGAGCCAAGCCGACAGCGAGGAAGGGCAGCTCCCGCCACAGTCGTCGTCCTCAAGCAAGTCCCATCTATTGGACCACCAACAAAAACAACGCCACGGGCACGAAATCAATCACGACAGTCTTGGTGATGGTGAGAATAACATTCATGATACACCTCTCAGCAGCGACGAGGTTTTGGTAATGGAAGAGAACCCCATCGTCACAGCTATTAAGGATACCAACAACGATCAAAGACCCGCAAGCAGCGCCAGCGCCAGCGCCAGCGCCAGCAACAAGGTCAGAGACACCTCGACTGGGACTAGGACTGGGGACGATCAGGACGCTCACAAGCCACACCCCGACCTCGACCTCGACCGTGACTCGCTGGCCCCAATGCCGCCCGCCGCGTCTCAAGGACGCTTGGCTAGCGAATTGACTGCCAACAACGATCTACGCCCAGCCGCAACAACCACAACCACTGCTTCTGCTGCAGCTCCTGCTGCCCTCAACAACCTCCCAAGCATCAACGAGGACCAAACCCCACCCGGATTTGACGACCCGAAACAGAGACTTCAACTATCGCAGTCGCATCACCCGCACCAACCACTATCGCCAAAATTTGGAGCGGCTCCCATCGTTACCCTCCAGACGGTCTCTGCCGAGGTCCTCAACGACGATCAACACGATCCCCTCAGCCATGCCCTGGGCACCCCGACGCCTCTCGCAACCGCCATCCTACCGAGTTCGCCCTTGTCCTCCCGCCCAGAGGCGCCTCCCCGACGACAAAGTCTTATACCCAATCGTCAAACCACTCTGATTCGAAATCTGCTCGAAGGACGTGTCGAAAACGAAGCTAGGCCAGCCAGCGCCGATTCTTTGCTCCCCAACATCGCAAACATGGTCACTCGCAAGGTCTGGGTTAGGCGCCCCGGTGCTTCTGCCACACTCATCACCGTCAACGAGGACGATCTGGTCGACGACGTGCGCGACATGATTTTACGAAAGTACGCCAACTCGTTGGGCAGGCATTTTGACTCTCCCGACCTCACACTACGGATATGCCCGCGGGAGCAGAGACAGGATCGTATGCTAGGCCCCGAAGAGCCCGTAGGCCGTACACTCGATGCCTACTTCCCCGGTGGTCAGAATGTCGAAGAGGCTCTGGTGATCGATATCCCAGCCCGGCGCACACCGAGACCATCACCGCGCGCTCCGACGCATGCTACAACAATCTACTACAATGACGAAGGCCGGCCCTCTGAAGCTGGCGAGGGATATTTCCCCCCGGTTGCAAATGCAGCTGCTCTGCCGTCACCAAACCTACCAGTGCCGGTTGTCGCTCCTGTCACCGTCCCTGCAACACATCCCGCGCATCCTGCCCATCCAGTTCACCCAGCGCATGCTCTGACAGCGCACACTCAACACTCGATCGCAATTCTCGGAACAGGCCAAGTACCGCCGATACCCTCGCCGGGAGGCACGAGGTCTCGTGCATACAGGGAACGCCCAGAACGCCCTCGTCTTGGGAGAACCCATACCTCCTCACCTACGATACTGAATCAAGTCAATGCACAGTCCATGGCGGCCGCTGCTGCTGCTGCCGCACATCCTAGCCACTCATTCCACCCACGCCTACCGCCCTCTCGGACGCAATCGAACACTTCGGAGCAATCCAACGCCCAGCCGGCTGCCCCGCCGCTTCCGACACCACCCGCCCCGGAAGTACAGCCTGCAAGAGTTGCGACTCCCCCGCCCAGGATTGCTTCTCCTAGGCCAGCAAGTTCTCGGCCTAAGAAGAAGAAAACAGTAGATCATCCAACTTTGCCCGCTGGCATATTGAATGGCGGCGTACCGCCTATCAACGTGTTGATCGTAGAGGACAACCCGATCAACCTCAAGTTGCTCGAGGCTTTCGTCAAGCGTCTGAAGGTTAGGTGGAAAACGGCGGTCAACGGCCGAGATGCCGTCACCATGTGGAGGACCGGCGGTTTCCATCTTGTTCTGATGGACATTCAACTGCCCATCATGAGCGGATTGGAAGCCACTCGGGAGATCCGCAGATTGGAGAGAGTCAACTCGATTGGTGTCTTCTCTTCGTCGGCAGGGAGCGCACCTGAAGCCCCGAATGGCGAGCCCGAGGAGAAGGACAAGTTGACCAATATGGAGCTCTTCAAAAGTCCGGTGATTATCGTGGCCCTCACTGCCAGCTCCCTCCAGAGTGACAGACACGAGGCCTTGGCGGCCGGCTGCAACGATTTTCTTACCAAGGTTAGTGCTCACCTACACTCTCATGTCTACTAGTTCATTTTACTTATGTGATGATTACAGCCTGTAAACTTTGTTTGGCTAGAGAGGAAGGTCATGGAATGGGGTTGCATGCAAGCACTCATTGACTTTGATGGCTGGAGGAGATGGAAAGACTTCTCTCAGCAGAACGACGAGGCCGAAGCCAAGAAATCGGCCGCGTTGAAGACGAAGGCAAAGAAGAATCGCTTGTCGATGACTTCGGTGCCAGCATAGAAATGCAATGACACCAAGAAGCTTTAGCAGGCAGCAGCGTTTACGCGACAACGGCTTTCGGTACACCTTTTTTGCAGAAGGCCACAGTAACGAATGTATCGCGAGGCTTTAACGAGGCGGAGTCTTTTTTTCCCCCCAATGGCCTCCAATGGGACTTGGCTTAATGAACATATGACAGCAACATACGGACTCCCCTCTGAGGTATGATTACAGCAGGTTCGGTGCTCATCTCTGTTGCAAGGGACCTGCATCTTGCTCATGGCTACTCGTCGTTTGGTTGCATGGACTCGACGGTTCGGTTTAAGAGATGCCCCGCATGGAATACACGAAGAGGGACGCGCAGAATGATACCATAGAGCGCGTATGCATGAGAGAATAATCATAATGGACTCAGCAACGCATACAATAGAGATTTTTGCTGAGATAAAACGCATTAATCGTCACTGCATACAAGGCCTAGTGTGTATACTGTAGTGAGGTGAAGGATATGCCTCAATTGTGATTTCCGAAGATGTTTGCAAGGTAGAAAAATGGACGAGAGGTGCTTGACTATACTTTACCGTACCTTACTTTACCCGAATCTGCCCTACCTGAGTACCTGACGGGAGGGGACGGGGCCTGTTGACCTGAGTGCCGGAAGACGGTTGATGAAGACCGGTAGGTGGGTCTGGGGCCAGAGCTTGGGAGACGGTTTTCGGTTCTGTCCTTAGGCACAAGGCCAATTGACCAAGGCAAATTATCCGCGATATGGCCCGTGCACGTTCTCCTAAGAAAACGAAAGAAAAATTGGTCGCAGCTTTAAAAAGTCTCCCTTCTACACAAAACAACCATCACCCACGTTTTACCCAAGCTCCCAAATGGTTGCTTCGCCATAAAATCGGTGCAATCCACGGCGCACCTTCTGCGTCGAAGACGACACACTTTCTTTTTGCTTCACACACAATGTCGGCACGAGCGGGCTCGTCATTGTCGCCATTGGTCCTCGCGACCAAGTGGTGCGATGCGTCCGCCGCCGCGTACGCGGGTACGACGGCATCGCGGTGCGCCTTTTCGACGACGCCGATCCAGTCGAGAAGGAGCAAGCTTCAGCACAGGATGCACGACTTTTTCAAGAGTAACAGAGGCGCTAAACTGAAAGAGTCTGATCATGGTGTCAATTACTTGAGCGGCTCCAGGGACCAGCCATTCCCGATGAACCCGTTCTTCCGGAGCGAACCCGTGCTGAGCGAGAACCTGAGGCAAGAGGTCTACCGGAGGGTCACCGTGGCCAAGGAGTCGCTGAAGCTCGTTTCGGCGGAGCTGGGTATCGATGTTCGCCGCGTCGCTGCCGTAGTGCGGATGATGGAGATCGAGAAGCAGTGGATAAAAGAGGTAAGCATACAACCATTTTTTCTTCCTTCACCTATCAAAATCCCCATGGTGGATTCATCCTCCACCCACCCAGCATCATGATGATCAACTTTCCAAAATTCGATTAGTCTTGAAGACGCAACATATGGTTACACCTTGGCACTGCGAGCCTCTCTGATTTGCTACTCTTTATTCTCAATTCATATTTCGCACATCATTTCAGACGTACAGTCTTTGCTGACTTGAGGATGAAACTTTCGCAGCGCAAACCACTAGCCCGACCTTATGCCAAGGCCATCATGAGCATGCTTCCCCAGACTAACTTCGCAAACACGGCGAACGGAGTGCCCCAGAAGCCCCATGAGCCCGTGAATGAGATCCACGTCCACAAGCTCACAATGCAGCAACTCTTCGTGCCCGTGTCAGAGTCGCGGCAATTCAATAGAGAAGACGCCGCAAAGGCCTTCCATAGAAACATGCTTTCGATTGACGATCGCTCACCACACAAGGAGCTCATTGACATGAGGAGGGCGGCCGCCAACGGCGGCGACAGAGCTACGCTAACCCGCAAGTTCCGCGCCGAGACGAGGGCGCAGGAGGACAGGCTGGTCGAGAGAGAGCGCAAGCGTCTCGAAAAGGTCGAGGAGGAGACGACGCGTGTTGATACCGGTCGATTCGAGTTCAGATTCAAGGAGATGAATGTCGAGACCGTCGGCAAGAACGGCCGCAGCAGGGGAGGCGTCGGCTGGAGATACGGTGTCCCCTTCTATGACCGCAGGAAGGGTGAGACGAAGATTCCCACATCGGTGCCTTGAACATGTCCAACCCAGATTTCACTGCCTACTGCCGACCACATCACACACGGCGACGGCACGCTGGAGGAGGAGAAGCGGCTCAAACTCAGCCACCAAAACCAATCAGAAGACGAACTTAAGTCATGTTGGCTCAGTTCTCGTGTGGACGCTTTACGATACAGCGTCTGTGTCTATCAACTGTAATTATATACATGTAACCCTATATGACGACGGACTCAAGCGGAGGGGCGCGCTTCAAAAGATGAAGCTTCAATCAAGCCCAGCAAGAAATGCATTTTATTCCTTCCAATAAGCCATTTTTTGTCTCAAAGCAAATACTTTGTGTGTGAGACCCAGTCGACTACTTTACGTCCGTCGTCAGCATCCACTACTAGGTTTGACCTGATACGGCTGATATCGTCTGGCGAGAGACGGCATCTGTTCTGGACGTACGCCTCGACTGAGCCGTACTCCTCGCGGAGTGCAGCCAGCGTCGCAAGCATGTTTTCTTTCCTGGACGGGGTTTAGCATAGGTATATAGTAAGAGAGTGAGAGTGAGGAAGCACATACCGAGATCCAATCATGCGCCTAGCTCCTTCGGGGTTCCCCTTCATGGCCTCAGTAGCGAGGAGGTGCTGGATAATCTCCTCCCTCCGGTCCTGGAGACCGATATCGGTGAGGCTGTACTCGTGGGCCACGACCTCGTCCGAGACGCCGCAGAGGCTGAGGATGAGGGCGCAGATGATTCCCGTCCTATCCTTGCCGGCGGTGCAGTGGATGAGCAGCGGGGTGGGGGGTTCGGCGGAGGCGAGGTGGGAGAGGATGGTGTGGAAGGGGTCGTTAGGGTGGTCTGCCTCCGAGGCGGCGCGGAGGATGTCGGTGTAGGCCTTTGTGAAGCCCTACGGAAACATTTGTTTTAGAATTTCACACACAATTTCATCAAGGTGATGAGCCATTCCCCCTCTGGTCACCGGGACAAGGAGGAAAGGTGAGAGAGAGAGAGAGAGAGAGAGAGAGAGAGGAGGGGCTGGCAGGAGGAAGAACTCACCTCGGGCCCGTTACTAGAGTAATTACGGTACCGCAAGGCGATAGCTTCGGGGCCGTAGTCCATATCCCGAAAGACGGGGACAAAGATGCGGGTGGCGCCGGGCCACTCGCGGACGTCGCAGCTCGTGCCGGCCTTTGCGAGGCGCTCGAGCTCAATGGCGGAGCGGAGGTCGTAGACGTGGGTGATGTTGAGGTTCTGGAGGCGAGCGACGCCGTCCTCGGTGAGGCGGGAGGGCTCGGCGGAGCGGAAGAGGATGCCGGGTTTGATGATGCGGCCGGCCGGGAGGGCGTCGACGGGATAGCCGCCGGCGTCGCGGAAGTTGGGGAGGCCGGGGATCTGGTGGAAAGGGGGCGTGGGGAGGTCGATTTTGGGGCGTGGTTCCGTCATTGTGTAATTTCTTTTCTTGTTCTCTTTTCGTCTCGTGTTGCTATACGGGTTGGAGGGGGAGTAAATGAGCGAGAGGTCGACGTTTGCGCTTTGGAACGGATGAGATGATCAACGAAGTTGTGGACTGAGTCTGGTTTATGGCCGTGTGTAGTTATTCACAGTCTGTAGATGCGTGCACCGCGGCAATGGGCATCGTCGGATGTGGCCTCTGCGGGGGAGGATTGCGGCATCCGAGGCATGTCGTTGGGTAGGCTCGGACCTGCCCACCTTTGGGCCAACATGCGCGCGCCTTTGGGCGTAAGTGGAAAGCAGCATCAAGTCAAGGTCAACTAATCCAGGTTGCTCTCTCACCGAGATCTGACTAACAATCCTGTCCTTATCCTGCATGAGGAAGTGGATATGTGGTGAGGAGAAGCAAGAGCAACAGGTATACAAGGCCAGAAAACAGCTTCTAGAGGTTGTGAATACCGGTGTTAGTTCTCTAGTACCTGTCTGAGGTAAAGAATGGGCCGCCTGAGTGTACCGAGTATATTGATCTGCCTTGGTAGGAACCCAGTGCTTTGGTTCAACCAGTCTTGCGGGCAGTCTTCATCAGCAGCTCAGAAACATGGCCAGTCAGCAACGTGAGTAGGGTAACAAAAGAGTTCGAACAAAAATGTCATCATTAGGCAGGTGCCGTCCAAGGTTTGTTTCTAACACTGCCAGATTCGGGCCGTCCACGAGCAACGAGACGAGAAAGACGACAGCGGGAATGAGAGGCAGGTACCGTAGTACAAGGAAGGGAAGTGCTCGAAACATCAGCATCTAATACCTTACAGTAGCGCAATTTTGGGTCATGTCACATCGTTCGAGGGCCAGTCAACCAGTGTCATTGAAGCGCCATGCTCCTACGACCAGGTGACTGGCTGGCCCGAGCCGGGGCAGCTGAACTGAGACTGGTAATTTGCTCAGATGCTGCCGATGATGCCTACTTTACCTCAAGGTACTGCATAGGAGGTATGTAGGTGGTGGTCAACTTATCGTGTTATCCTAGGTAAATAGCGTGCGTTCCAATGTTACTTACTTTTGTCAGGTTTGATGACCGACGGGAGTTCGACTTGTATCTCATTCTCATCCCGTACCTGGCAGGTCTGACGTCCTCGATGCACCTTCCCCTGACGCATGCCAGCACAGCAAACGTGCAGATTTTCTAGGCTGCGGCAGCTGCTCTGACTGGCACCTGCCCGTCGAATCCTCCCCCGAGCCAGTGACCACGACGAGCGGACCTCTCAGAAGTCAGGGCTAAGAGGACGGAAGCATCCAATGACAGCAGTGACAGCACCCCCTGGGGCCCCTGCACCAAAATTACGCGAACCTCCCCCCTAGGGAGTAGTCGCGTTCCTGACTGGCTCGTCGTGTGCGCTAAAGGCCTCGTGCTGCGTCATAGGGGACCAACTCACATCTTCCCAGATTTTCTTGACCTCTTTTTTCCCACCAAGGACGCACTGGGACTTGGGGACTTGGAGGGAATCCGACCGCTTTGAGACAAGCAAGATGGCGATCAACCTGTTTGTGTCTTTCCCACCCTAGCGCCCTCCTCCTCGTGGTGTGATCAAACTAAGGTACTGGCGCTGCTACCCTTCTATCTGACCATGCCCACCTTAATCACCTAGCTCGACCTTGGTGTCATCACCACCTTACCTTCCAAGGTTGCCTTCACTACTACCACCTGTTCCCGTTAAAAAAAGAGAGGAAAAAAAAAAAACTTCGTTCGCAGCCTTAATTTGAATAAGACCCTCTTCCTGCGCCCTCCCCTCCAACTTGCCCCGGTGAATCCCACTACCAATTCCTCCCATCCTCTCCTCGCCGTTTCCGCCGTCAACACGCTAGCCAAACCCGCACAAACCTCTCATCGAAAAACACACGATTAACCCAATCTACGCGGTCACTCACCGATAAACCGTAGTTCGAGATGGGCCTCTTCGGCATGGCAGCGAGCTACCTCGCCTTCTCCGTCCTCCACTTCTTCCAGTTCGTCCTGGCCGTCACTGTATGCGGCCTCTACGCCGTCGACCTAAACCGCGCTAGAAGTGAAGGGAGCTACACCGACGGGAAATGGGTGAGAAATCTTCCATCCTCCAAAAACTTACGAGAACGAGGACTAATAAGGACACGAAAAACAGGTCTTTGCTGTCGTGGTCGGTGCCCTCTCCGCCGTAACGGCCCTGCTCTACTTCATCCCCTTCATCCTGCGCTTCGCCATCGTCTGGATCTGGGATGCTATCCTCTTCATCCTCTGGATCGCCCTGTTCGGTCTCTTTGGTAATGTACGTACCGAAATCACTTTCCCATTCCAAACCTATCTACTACGCTTTTTTGTCGGACTACCCTTGCTGACTTGTGACTTGCCAGATGTACATCAAGGAGAACGCAGAGGGCGACAGTGGCATTCAGCGTATGAAGAACGCCGTCTGGGTCGACTTGGCCAACGCCCTCCTCTGGCTCATCAGCGCGCTGGCGACCGCCGCCTACTGGTGGAGACACCGCGAACGCCGCACCCGCTTCACTGGCCGTGGAAAGGTCTAAACACGATGTTCAAAGCGAACCATGGCCTAACCCCACAGAGGGTGAGTGATAGAGCTTGTCTACTGAGTAGATGAGAGTGGGCATCGTGCGAGCGTACAATCGCACGAACGCACACGAAAAACCCCATCTCACACACTCGAGGTGAACGCTCCGGGTCCGGTGATGATGTTGTTACGAGGTCGGTGTTTAGGAGTATTTTATTCTGCCGCAAACACGATACCAAAACCTTGGCGAGGTTTATCTTGTATTCTTGCTTTCTTTACAATTCCAATCCTACGAGACATCCTAGAGTCAGTGGCCATCTTCGGACACCATGATGTTCGGACACCATGATGTCCGAATCGACCGTGATGTTATTCTGGAAACAAACATTGTGGTTGCCGACTTCCTTGCTTGGCAGAGGCTGTATGAGACTGTTGCCATATCCATTGCAGACATGTTCCAGACTTATCCACCACGTGAGATGGCAGGGAGATTACATCGGTGACTAGACACACGCGCTCAAAGGATCAAGTTGCGAATAGATTAGTCAAAAACAAACCGTCCTCAACCTTATGCTCGTCCGTCTACCTTAGCCGGGGCCGGCCGATACTGACCACGAGGACCGTGTGTCCCCCCTGAAGACCCTGAAGACTGAATCGTACGCGCCGCGCCGTCGTCGGCGCCGTCGTAGCTGTCCCTGCCGGAGGTGAGCGGCCCCGCGTTTCTGCCTTCCTTAGAGTTTCGGGCCTCCCTACAAGATCGCCTATCTCCAAGGGGCACTCTACAAGAATGCTGCGCCTCCCGTCCTTTCATTCATCCCATCGTGGACGGTCCCAGAAACCCTCAGGGAACCCTTGAGCCGGGTGCTGTACCGTGCGGTGGGTGCATGAAAACGCTCTCGCCATCTGGCAATGCACAGCCCGGAGGTGTTCCTCCTGAATCTAGCGTACTAGAGCTGTTCTACCGCTCCTTGGACCAGATGGATACAGTTGACTGCGTGACTGCCAGGCCCGGCGCCTCAAAAGTCCTACATGGGAAA